CGGCACATGCTAAGCGTGACGCCGCACAGCGTGTACCGCAAAGCGTCGTGGACACGCCATGTGGTACGTTTCAACGGTAAACATACGTGTTCGGCTCGGACCTCCGCCAGTACATGCGTTGGTGTTGTTCGGTCTCTCCCTCTGAGCCCAAGCTCTGAGGACCGTCGTGGAGGAGCAAAGAGGAGAGGGGGGCCCGATCGCGTCTCGAGCGAGCGATCCGGTCCAGCGCCGACCCGAGGGATTGCCGAGCATTTTCTTTGGGTGGAGGGCAAAGGGTGAAATCTCAAATGCCGTTTCGATGGATGATCGAGGCTTGAATCTTCCAAAGATGAACCACGAGACGGACTGATTCTCGAAGTGCAAGGCCCACATGGATTTTACCCTGAGCCTTCCACCCTAAGAAAATGTCCAGGATTGGGCGCGGAGATCCGAAAACCAACACGCCGTCCCCAGTGGCAGGCAGGCTCGCCGTGCCCGCCGCCGACGCCGTCGCCGCCGCTGCCTTCGCCAGCCTCGCAGGCGTCGTCGCCACGGTCGCCGCCCCCGCGTCGTCGTCGTCGCGCCACGCCTCGAAGAAGAACAAGACGACACAAACATGAACATTTCGCGCTCCGCGCGGAGTTCTTGCATCCGCGCTGGGCCCCCCCCCAGCGGCGCCTTTGGCGCCAACCCTGGCGCGCTCGGGGGGGGGGGGCCCAGCGCAGATCCAAGAAATCCGCGCGGAGCGCGAAAGGTTTATGGTTGTTCGTTTTTTCTTCTTTCAACAGCAGGGGCAACGCCAGGGGGGGTTGGCGTGGGGGGTAACGACGAGCTCGAGGCTCCAGGTGTTCGGGCGTCCTCGTCGGTTCCCGGCGGTTCTCCAGCCTCGGAGTGCCCTCCAGCGGCTGCGCCCCGCCGAGAGCGTTCCCAGAGGTGACCGGATCGCCCCGAACGGCCGGCGGAGGCCCGCGTTAGGACCAACAAAAACACCAGGGCACAGGTTGGGGTGGGGGTAGGGGGGGAAGGGCGAGGGGGGAAGGCTTCTCAGAAGCACCCCTGCTTCTTAGAAGGCGCCAGCCTTGTCTGTAGATGCAAGGCCCGCGCCTTCTAAGAAGCAGCCTCCTCCTAAGAAGCCTTCCCCCCTCCCCCTGCCCCCTTGTGCGCGCCGCCAAGGGGGGGGGGTCCGTCCACCCCCAGTTGACCACTCCTCGTCGGCCGGGGAGCCCGACAGGCTCGAGTCGGGCCTGTCCCTCCTCTGCAGGAGGAATCTGAAACAAGTGGCCCAACATGTGGTCAGGGACGATGTCTTTGTTCCCATGCTTTGTGTTTCGGCGTTGACTCTGTTCTGGTCAGTCTCGATTGCTCGATGTCTTTGTTTCCATGCTTTGTTATTTGTTGTTGGGTATGTCTGTTCTGGTCCTTCTTGGACTGCTCGCCCACAACATCCGCCTGTCGGGGACGCGCCCGACCTGACCATGGGCCCGCCCCGCCCAGGGAGCGCGCGGCCTCGCTGTGCCGGGGGGCCCGTCGCCGGCGCGTCGGCCCGGGCGTCGCCGGCGCCAGCGCTCGACGCCTCTTCGCTCGACTAGACGTAAGAGTGGCCTTTCGCCGGAGTGACCTTTGGTGCGGGCGCGGATGGGGCCCCCCGATCGCCGAGCGCGATGCGGTAGTTGCGTCTCGCGCGCTCGTGTTTGGTCCCCGCGGCCCCCCAAAGGCCGCGCACCAAAGGTCTCACTCTGATCGGGGGAGCGTAAGACCCGGGTTTGCCAGGACTCGGGTTCGCCATCGTTTTTTGACGACCGCGCCTCGGATTGTGACGAGTAGGAGTTTCGTGGGATGTCTGCAGCGGGAGGCCTCGTCAAAATGCAGGCTCGGCCTCGTCATTTTTTTGACGACCTCGTCGGGGATTTCCGAGTCCCTTGTACCCGGGTCTTACGCCCCCCTGATCTGACCCAGGGTCACTCTTGCGTGTCGTCGATCTTCGCCCCGAGCCTCGCCCCGCCGTCCGCTCCTCGACCTGGCGCCGGCGACGGAAGCGGAGCGCGCCTGGCAGGATGTCGGGCGTGTCCCTTACAGGGGGATTTGCGACGACAAAGATGAAATACCCCAAAAATATGCCAAAAAGGTAAAAAAAATACTCCAAAAATTGTCCCCAGACTGATTTTGGAGCTGGAGCATTGTTTGACTATTTTGGGGGTATTTTTGTTTTTCGTCGAAGATGACCCTGTAGGGGGGGACACGCCCGACTTAAGCCTGGCAGGGAGAAGCAGTGGCGAAGCGTCCTGGCGTGCCGATAGGCCTGCCAGACCATGTTCTAAGAAGCGTTTGTGGTTTCCACGGAATGTTCTCAGAGCATTTCTGGTTGGGACCGTCTTGTCTTGTCACATCCGGTTTATGTTCTAAGAGCATTGTTTTTGTTGTTTGAGCATTTTTGGGGTTCTAAGAACATTTCGTGGTAGGCCTCTAGGAATGCCGGGACGGTCGGTCCCTGCTCAAGTCCACTCCTCGACCTGCCGCCGGCGACGTGTCGGGACGCGCCTGGCAGGGGGCAGAGGGGCTCCTGCAGAGGCTATCGCTGTGCGCGGGCACCAGATCTCGGAGGTCGAAGAAGAAAACATCACCGCAACAATAGAGCAAGCACTGCATAGCTATCAACTAACATGACCCACAACCACAATCTGCTCCCACCCGTCAGTTCACTGACAGGGTATGAACATATATAAACTTTCGGCGCTCCGCGCGGGTTTCGTGGATCCGCGCTGGGGCCCCCCGGCGGCGCCTCTGGGCCTCCGGCGCCGCCCCGCGCGCCATGGACGGGGGTCTAGCGCGGATCCAAGCAATCCGCGCGGAGCGCCAAAGTTTATGTTTCTGCCGTTTTTTCTTTTTCGGAGAATGTTCCAAGAACCTTCTGAGGTTTGCACGGAATTGTCTTAGATTTTTCCTAGCTGGGAGTGCATTCGTTCAACACGTCGTCTTCATGTTCTGAGGACCTGGATTTCGTGTTCAGAACATTCTTTGCTTCGAAGGACATGCCGTGGCAGGCTTTTTAGGAATGCCGGGACGCATGGTCCGGTCCCTGCTCAGTCCCTGAGGAGGGGGTCGGACCCCTGGGGAGCCGCGTGGCGAAGCCAGCCGCCGCGTCGGATGTCTTGGGCCTTCCGAAGGGCTCGGGAGCATCTGTGTGGAGTGGGACCTCGGCGAGGAGATGGCACGTCCGCCGGGCGGGCAGATGGCAGGAGGAGCCGCTCGGAGCAGCAGGCGCGGCATGGGGCCGCGGGCGGGCGGCATCCCCTCGGCCCACCCGGAGGAGAAGGGGTGAGAGCACTCGGCGGGCAGCGCCCCGGGGAAGGGCCTTCTCGGAAGGAGGCCCCGGTGGCCTTCGGACAAGTGCTCTGAGCCTCCCTTCTTCGAGGGCAGAGAACCCCTAATTATGACCCTACGGTGGGTTTGCGTCGTGTCGACCAGCGGCGACCCCAGCGCGGGCGTTCAAGGTTGAACGCCGCCGGCGACCCAGAATCGATCGATGTTGAACGACCGGACGTTGCGGCAGCGGCCGATCGTTCAAGGTTGAACGATCCCTGCGGTGTCAAAAACCAACGCTGGGGTCGGCACGACACGAACCTGCCGTAGTGACGCCATGACGACGTGGCCAAACGTAGGCCGCCCGTGCCTGCATCACGCGCCGTTCCTATGTGTGTGTGGTTTGGTTTGATACATACATCCGCTGGAACCATCGGGCCGGACGAAAGGGGGGGATGGGGAAAGGGGGGGTCACGAAATTTGCTGCATGCAGCTGGTTTCGGCCCCACCGAGGGGCCCATTCCTAGATACACAGACGCCTCCGGCGCCGGGAGGCGCCGGGAAACTCAGCTACGTGAGCTGAGTCTCAAACCCCCCCCTTTGCTATCCCCCCCTTTCGCCCGGTCCGAAACAAAAAGATATTTTTTTAAATATAGCAAAAACCCAAAAACATACAGCAAAAAAGGTCAACATATATTTCAGAAATAGTCCCCTGACTGTTTTTGGAATATGTTTGGATTATTGTTGGAGTAATTGTTTAATTTCACATCGAAAATCCCGCTGTAGGGGGACAGGCCCGACTTAACACTTCCCCCCCTCGCTCGCCGCCGGACAAACGCAGTGGGGGCGGTCAAGGCGGGAGGATGCGGAGGAGGGCAATGTTCAGGCGGTCGCAAGCATGCATCAAGGGGGCGTGGATTAGCGACGGGTCCCGCTTCCACGGGACGTCGCGGCTTGCCGCCGCCGAGCGAGGCGGCACCGGCCGCATTTGGGGGGAGGGCACCTCCCCCGATCCATGGATTTGGCGACCGCACGCCAAGTCCATGGATCGCTAAGCCATGTCTGCGCGCCCCCGATTCTGAGAAGCCTCCCCAGCTCCCCCTGCCCCCCTGTGCGCGCCGCCAAGCTTTGACAAGAGGAATCGTCGGCGTCATCGTAGTCGCTGTCGACGCCTTCGTCGTCTTGGGCGTCGGCGTGGATCGCTAAGCCATGTCTGCGCCACCCCGATTAGGAGGATTAGGGGGAGGAGGGAAGAGGATTAGGGGGGAGGAGAAGGAGGAGGAGGAGGAGGAGAGGAGGAGGAGGAGGACGAGGAGGAGAAACAGGAGGAGGAGAAGGAGGAGGAGGACGAGGAGGAGGAGGAGGAGGAGGAGGAAGAGGAGGGAGGAGAGGAGGAGGAGAGAAGGGAGGAGAGGGGGGAGGGGGAAAACGGAAACAGCAGAAAACCTGGACCTCGTCGGCGCCGCCACCGCCGCCGGAGGCCTCCGAGGACCGCCGAGCATCGCCGGCGCGCCGAGGGCCGCGCCGAAGGCCGCGCCGAGGGCCGCGCCGAGGGCCGCGGAAGGCCGCGGAAGGCCCGCGGCCTCGCGGCGGCGGCGCAGCCGACGCCGCACGCCCAGAGGAGTTCCGCCTCGCCGCCCGCAGGGTGCTTCTCCGGCACGCCTCGGGCGGAGGCGCGCCCCGCTCCTCCCGCGGGCGGGAGGGGCGCGGGCCGCCGCGAGGACCCTGCCCACCGATGCGCCGCCCGCCGAGTGGCTCAACGCGCACGGCCCTCCGTGCCCCCTGGGAGAGGAGCCCCCCCCCCCTCCTCCCTCCTCCTCCCTCCTAGTCCTCCTTCTTCCCCCTCCTCATCCCTCCCCCTCCCCTCTCCCCCTCCTCCCCCCTCCCTCCCCTCCCTCCTCCCCCCTCCCCCCTCCCCCCCCTCCCCCTCCTCCCCCCTCCCCTCCCCTCCCTCCTCCCCCCTCCCCCTCCCCCCACCCCCCTCCTCCCTCCCCCTCCCCCCTCCCCCCTCCCCCTCCTCCCTCACTCCCTCCTCATCATCCCTCTGTCTGTTGGTCCCCGTGTGGGGTGATGCGTTCCCGAGGCGGTCTCTGGGGCTCAGGACGCCAGCTTTCGGCACATGCCTCGGAGGCGCTCCTACCTTGAGCCTGGTGCCTCCTGTAGGGGTTTTCCTTCGAGCCTGGTTTCAATCACGAGTTGAACTTGACAAAAGGTTCTTTGGAGCTCTGATCCTGATCCTCCTCCTCCTCCTCCTCCTCCTCCTCCTTGTCCTCCTCCTCCTCCTCCTCCTCCTCCTCCTCTCCTCCTTCCTCCTCCTTCCTCCTCCCCTTCTCCTCCTCCTCCTCCTCCCCCCTCCTCCTCCTCCTCCTCCTCCTCCTCCTCCTCCTCCTCCTCCTCATGGTCGATGTTTTCACGGCATTGTTGTGCATCGTGGTGCGGCCGACCTGTTTCGGTTCTGGATTCCAGGCCGGCGCAGCCCGACCCGGCGCACGTTCCGATCCGATCCGATTTCCCGAGCGGCTGTTGATTGGTCTCACCTGCTTGAAACCCAGCCCTATCCCTGTGGTTGGCATCTCCTTGGCTCGGTGTCGTTCTTGAGGGTTCCTTCAGCTTTCCGAAGAGAGCATCCCTGCGATAGACCACCGCTTCGGGCAAGTCGACTTTAGGGATACGCATCAGCTCGCGGCTGGACATGGTATTTCGGGCGAAGCGAACTATGCACATGCACCGATCCTGGCAAGGCCCATCCTTGACCCAGGATCGGTGCATCTACCTTCCTGGCCAGGGTAGGAGGGCGTATGCACCGATCCTGGGCTCAGGATGGGCCTGGCCAGAAACGGTGTATGTGCATAGTTTTTTTTCCTCTAGTGTTGCTCCCTCGGCGTCCCACTCTGCGCCGGCCCTCTCGGGAGTGGCCCGCGCTCCTCGGCCGCTGGGGCCGCTGCGTGCCAGTGTTGCGCTCCGCGTCGGTCGCGGCCGAGCGTCCCCAGCGATAGGGCGGCCCACGCTCGGCGGGGCAGCGCTTCAGAGCTCGGGGGGATGTCTGTCACCACCCACCAAACCACCCCAACCCAACCCGAAGGCCCCGATTTACCCTCGATTTCCAGTGGGGGGGGTGTCGAGAAACATCGAAAAAACACGTGTGGAACCCTTACCCCCCCAACCCGAAATTCGGGTCTTCGGGTTGGGTTGGGGTGGTCTGGTAGGTAGTCAGTCTGTACCAGCAGACCAGGCTGACTGAGGCGTCGGGGGGTCTTCGAGGCCGCAGTGCGCCGCAACGCGGCGCCTCAATCCTGCTAGCTGGGGGCTCCCTGGTAGGGTAGCACTTGGTGTCCTCAACCTGTCTTCAACCCTGATGTGGATATATGTCGGTCCGAAGGGAAGAACCACACAGACACAAACCATCGTCGACACGAATGAACATGGAACGTAGGGGACGCGGAGGGGACGACGAACATCCAGAACATACCGAAAAGTAGTGAATCCTAGGTTTTGTGCCTAGTAATTTGTGTGTGTGTCGCCTGGATCCTTCGGTTGGAAAAGACTCTCGGGCGTGCGCTCGCTCGACAGACATGCGACGCGGTCCCCCGAAGCCTCGACCCTTTGCCCGGGAACGCTATTTCACCCTGAGTCCTTTTTTGACGATCCCTGGGCCCGGTGATGGGTGGCCCAAATGGTGGGTGAAGAACAGCACCTCTAAAGGGGCACTATAGGCCCCGTTGGAGCTAACGTGCTCCGTTCGAGCCCTTTTCTTCACCCCGAATGTGGGTCACCCTCGCATGACCACCCCCCCGACGGAAGCCGAAAGCTGCGAAAAACTTCACGTCTTGATTTGTTCACGACGCGAGCATGCCTGCTCCTCTTCTTCCTTCTCCTCCTCCTCCTCCTCCTCCTCCTCCTCCTCCTCCTCCTCCTTGTTTCTCCTCCTCCTCCTTGTTTCCCCTCCTCCTCCTTCTCCTCCTCCTCCTCCTCCTCCTCCTCCTCCTCCTCCTCCTCCTCCTCCTCTTTTTGTTCCCTCCTCCTTCCCCTTCCCCCGCGAGGTACAAGACCGTCCTCGGAGACTGGTCCGGCCAGGCCGCGTGCCGCCCCCCAGCCCGCCCCGGCCCCCGGCCCGCCGGGGTGCACGTCCTGCAGTTCAGTGGGCCCTTCAGCGGGGGTGGGCAGAGCCCCCACCCGGACACTTTTTTGATCTGCGGGGCGAGAGCGAACCTCTTCCGCTAAGAGCTAGACAGGGCACAGGAAGGCGGGGCCTCAGGCGGCCGGAGCGGGCGGGGCCCGGGGAACAGGCGTTGCTGAAGTGGAAGTGGAGGAAAAGGTGTACGCCTTGGACGCCCCCACCCGGACACGTCGGTGAGTGAATTGTCCGTTCTCGGTTCTCGGAGAGCGCCGCGGCCTTCATTTTCCGGGCTTGCGCCCGCCAGGTTTGGGCCCGAGGTCGTTTCCAATAAACCACGCTTTACTAAAGGAGGGTCTGTCCATCCCCGACTGCAATCAGGGGCAACGATGGGGGGGGGATAGGCAGAGGGGGGGTGATGCATCCACCTCCAATCGCCCATTGATCGCCGATAAGGGTCTGATAGCCCCAACCCGCCCTGGAAGGTGCGGATTCACTATCGGGGGCCTGTCGCGGATCTATCGGAGATGTATCGCCGATTCCAGGTCGATGCATCTCCCCCAATGCCTACCCCTCCCCTTCTCGCTGCCCCTCCTGGAAGCAACATGGCCTCTTTTGTACCAGTTCTGTCTCGCCGTTTCTGTTGTCGGTTCCGACGCCGTTTCTGTTGCCGTTTCCGTCGCCGTCGTTTTTTCTTTTTCCGGCCCCGGCTCCAATGCTGGAGCCGTTTGTTTGTCGTTTCCGGTCGCCGTTGGTTTGCCGCCTCCATTCTCAAGAGACACCTGTCGGGCCAGCCACAACTGGGGGGGCTGTGGTCCCTACCCCCTTGGGGGGGCCCATCGATCTCGACACCCCTCTCGAGAATTCCTCGATGCGATGGGTAAGGACCGCGGCTCCCCCAGTGTCAAGCAGTGACGACTCGTCATGGCTCGCCTATAGCCCTACCAAGCAAGGTTCTAAGAACCTCTTGTGGTGTCCACGAAATGTTCTGAGAACATCTCTGGCGGAGCCTGTCTTGTTTGAACACATCGGCTTTACGTTCTAAGAACGTTGTGTTTGTTCGTAGAACATTTTTGGGTTCTAAGAACATTCCGTGGTACGGCAGGTTCGTGCCGTGTCGACCTGGGCGTTGGTCCCTGACGCCGCGAGGATCGTTCAACCTTGAACGATCGGCCATTTCCGCAACGTCCGATCGTTCAACATCGACCGATTCTGGGCCTCCGCCGGCGTTCAACGTTGAACGCCGGCGTCGGGGTCGCCGCCGGTCGACACGACGCGAACCTACCGTAGGACTATAGGACTGCCGGGACGGTCGGTCCCTGCTCAACCGTTGTGGCTGGTCGGCCCGGTCGGCGACGCCGACAAGAGCGGCCCCTGCCGTCCCCGGGGCCGCGGAGCCCTGCGGCCGCGCGCGGCCGATGGGGCCGCGGCACGCCCCTCCCCCTCGGGCGGGCGGCGGGGCCGGGTTCGCGCGCAGAGGGGCGCGCCATAGTCAGAGCCCCGAGTCATCGAAGGATTGCAAAAAAAACCCAGGATTGCAAAAAAACACAGGATTGCAAAAAAAAACCAGGGGATTGCAAAAAAACCAAGGATTGCAAAAAAAACTTTTTTTTTTGGGCAATCCAGGGGTAACTCGGGTCAGGGTTAACTCGGTTTTTTTTTGCGGGAATCCGAACCCGAGTTATCCCGGACCCGAGTTACCCCGGCCATTTCGGGCGTCCAGAGCCCCGAATCATCAGGGGTCACTCGGGTCAGGGTTAACTCGTTTTTTTTTGTGCGGGAATCCGAACCCGAATAATCCCGGACCCGAGTTACCCCGGCCATTTCGGGCGTCCAGAGCCCCGAATCATCAGGGGTCACTCGGGTCAGGGCTAACTCGTTTTTTTTTGTGCGGGAATCCGAACCCGAGTTATCCCGGACCCGAGTTACCCCGGCCATTTCGGGCGTCCAGAGCCCCGAATCATCAGGGGTCACTCGGGTCAGGGCTAACTCGGGTTCGTTTTTCGGGAACCCAAACCCGAGTTACCCCGGACCCGAGTTACCCCGGATAACTCGGGCGTCCAACATAGGAAGCTCGGAGGTCGATAGACCTCCTGAAGTCAAGCTGCTGACGTAAGGAGCAGTTTGGGGTCGGAAGGGGCTCGATGCTCCTTATAGTTCCTCCAGTGCTGTTCCTCTTGCCCTCCCGGGGCACGGAGGCGCTTACCGGGCCAGGAAGGGGCTTCGTTCCGTATTTAGCGTTCCTTCTTTCAACGGCCCGGCTGTACCCTGACACGTCGATTAGCGAGTTGGCCTTCGTCGGTTCGCGAGAGGGCGTCGCGGCCGTCGTTTTTGTGGGTCCAGGCCCATCGGTTTCGGTCCTAGGCCTTTTTGTCACTAAAGGGTGGTCTACTAGAGGGAGGTTTGCCCACCGCCGAGAAACGGTTCCCATGCCGCTACCCGTTCTTCGTCTCCCGCCATTTTGGGGCCAGCCTCCTGGGCGGCCCTCGTCGCCACCGCCGGATTCGCCTGGGAACCCTGGTCGGAACGCACCCCGGGAAATGTCCGGGGAGTGGCGGCATCGGCACTTCTTCGTTCGTGGCCTCCCCGAGACGGGGTCGGCCACGCGCAGAGGGGAGTTGCTTAGGTCCACGTCGACCGATCTGCCGCTCTGGGCACGGCCGATCCTTCAAGGCCGCACGCAGGGTCCAAAAATACAAGGGATTTGCCACATTTCTGGAATTCCGCGCCACCCCTCACGCAGATCGGCGTGGTCACGATCCGAAAACACGGGGTTTTGCCACAATTCTGGAATTCCGTGCCACCCCTCACGCAGATCGGCGGGGTCGCGCTGGGGCCGACGCGACGCGGGCCTGCCGCAGGGCCTCGGAGGTCCGCGCGGCTGCGCGGCCACGCGCCGAGGGGGGCGGGGTGAGGGCGGAAGGCTTCTTAGAGGTGCCCCGTCTTCTCAGACGGCACGGGCCGTGCCTATGAATGCAGCTTAGCTTCGACCGGAAGAGGTGCGCTCTCGACCCGCGGATCAACAAAAACAAGCCTGTGGGTGCAGGGCCGGCGCCGTCCAGGAGGCAGCCTCCTTCGAAGAAGCCCTCACCCCTTCGCCTACCCCCTAATTGTGTACGCCGCCAACAGGGGAGGAGGAGGAGGAGGAGGAGGAGGAGGAGGAGGAGGAGGAGAAGGAGGAGGAGGACCAGTTTCCGAGTAGGTTGGGGTGTGGATTCCAGAATTGATGTACCTTGAAAGTGAAGGGTTCGCCGAGAGTGCGACAAATAACGTAGAAGGCTCAGCAGACTTACGGAGCAGTCTACGCATGTTTCGTAGACTCGACGCAAAATAAAGTTTGAGATAAATTAAATTCTGTAGTCGATCCCCTGTTCGAAGTGTAAGTCCAAGACTCAGCAACGACTTTGGAATAAATTATCCCTCGAAGCTCTCTCATCACAGGCCCCTGCAAGGATGCAACTTTAATGAGGTAAGTGCCCCGTTGGGAGACAATATCATGAACATCCTGAGGCGTGAGGAGGAGGATCGGAAGGCAGCCAAGAGGGGAGTCATCATTATGTAGGCTTACGCCACATCCGCCGACGCCCCTAGGTGTAGATTGTTTCCTGATGTTTTGGGGGGCGTCCAGGGTGATGGTGATGTAGATGAAAGCGAGAGGTTGGGTTTTGGGGTACGTTGGGGGCATCTTGGGCCGCCTAGATGTCGTCTTGGGCGTGTTGGAACGATCCTGCAGCGATTCGGGCCCTTCTTGGACCATCTTGGGTGCGTCTTGGGGCCCTCTCGAGTCGTCGGGGAGCCCTCCATCCGCCCATGAGGGGGGGTCAATGGGGTGGATAGTGGGGGGGGAAGCAGTCTCACTTGCCTAGCATCAGGACGAAGGACCTCCGAGGAAGGAGGAGTGGGTAAAACGGAAAAGAGAGGTGACGTGGGGGACGAGTGGGGCGAGGGGTGATTTGGAAGGTGACTCGTGGGAGGCTGCGGGAACAGATATTGGCAAGGGCAGTCAGGAGGAAAAGGGGAGGGAGGGAGGGAAAGGAGGGAAGACGCGAAGGAAGAGGAGGTCGAAGGGCGATTTCGAAGGTGACTCGTTAGAGCCTGCGGGGGCGGAGAGAATGGCGGGGTACCCGCTGGGTGGCCTTACATTATCGACGACGCCTGTGGCGAATCACCGCCGCCCCTTGCCCTTTTGCAAGCGCCCATGTGGCCGACAGCTGGGCTGGAGCTTGGCCAAGCTATCGGGCCAGCTGTTTCCCGAGTCGGTTTGGAAAGCCTTCGGGGAACGCGTGGGGGAGCAAGAGGAGGAATATTAGGAGAGGGAGGAGGGTGATGATTAGGAGCAGGATGAGGATGAGGATGATGGGGGAGGAGGAGGAGGAGGAGGAGGAGGAGGAATTGGAGGAGTAGGAACCTCTTGGGAGGCCTTTTGGGAGGCATCTGCGAAGCTTTCTGGGAGCCTTTTGCCCGGGTCTCTTGGGACCGGGGATACACCAGGCGCTGTGTTGGCAGGCGCGCACCAACGACCCCGATGATTTCCACCCCCACGTTTCCCCTGCTCTGTTTCCCCTCCTCCCCGCTCTCTTTCCCTCCACCCTCTCCCCCTCTCCATCTTTTCTCCCTCTTTCCCCTCTCCCCCCTCTTTTTCACTATTTGTCTTATCCTCTACCTTTTCCCTATTCCCTCCTTTTGCCCTCTTCTCCCTTTTCCTCTTTCTGTCTTCCCTCTCCCCCTCTCCCCCCCCTCGTGTCGCTTCCCTCCCTACCCCGTCCGTAGAATCCACCGGGTGAGGGCCTCTGCACTGCTTCAAGGGCCCTCATACAGAAGTGAGTGCAGATGTTCGGCACTACACTCCAGGCGATGCTTAAGAAAACCCAAGTTTTCGGCCAGAGTCTCGATTATTCTTAACGTTTCAGTGGAAATCCCAAGATTTTGATAGGAACTCTGGGTTTGTATTCAAATTCTGAGACTATGAATTTCTGAACCCATGATTTCTTGAGCATTTCGCAGGGTGTAGCAGTCCCCTTGCATGTCGCCCCCTCATCTGTCAACCGTCCTCTCCTCGCCCGAGCTGCCGTGGGGAAGGGCGGGACGAGCGAGGAGAACGAGGCGCGGGGAGAAAGAGGAGCGAGCGACGAGAGGAGGGGGGGGGGGGGGGCAACGGGCAAGGAGGAGCGAGCGTCGAGAGATTGGGAGAAGACGACGAGAGGAGGAGGAGGAGGAGGAGGAGGAGGAGAGGAGGAGGAGGAGGAGAACGAGGAGAACGAGGAGGAGGAGGAGGAGGAGGAGGAGGAGAGCGAGGAGGAGGAGGAGGGAGAGAGAAGGAGCGAGCGTCGAGAGGCGGAGGCGGAGATGAGGCGGAGGAGGAGGCGGAGGCGGAGGAGGAGGAGGCGGAGGAGGAGGCGGAGGCGGGAGGGCGGAGGAGGAGGAGGAGGAGGAGGAGGAGGAGGAGAGGAGGAGGAGGAGGAGGAGGAGGGGGGGGTCCCCCATCCATCCCCGCCCCCCCCCCCCGCCCCCGAGAGCGCCTCTCCCTCGCCCCCGAGCGCCTGCGGCGAGAGAGCGAACGGGGGGGAGAGGGCCCGCCCCGGTGGGGGCCGCCGGAGAGGTCGCGCCGCAGGCGAAGGCGATGATGATGCCCCAAGGTCTGGGCGCGCGCTCCGGCCCAGGGGCAACGGCCACGGGGGCACAGGAGTCGAGCCAAGCCTCGACTCCTCCTCCTCCTCCTTTTTCTCCTCCTCCTCCTCCTCCTCCTCCTCCTCCTCCTCCTGCTCCTCCTCCTGCTCCTCCTCCTGCTCCTCCTCCAGTCGCGTTCTGGGCAATGTCGTGGGCCGTTTTGTTCGTTTTGCCCTCGTTCTGCGGCAGATGTGGAGCGAAGACAGAGCCGGGGACGACGAGCACGAAACGAAGACGGGAAGCACTGTTTCATTCGAGCCCTGCGGGGGCCTGGGCAGGGGGACGATGCGCCGACCCCTCGATCGCCCCTTGATCGCCGATGGCAGGGGAACGAAGAACGACATGCAGCCAAGTCGCTGAAATGAGGAACAAGTTGGGTAGGAAAGGGGCTCGATATTCCTCAGGTCCTTCTATGGCTTTTCCTTCAGCCTTCCTCGTGCACGTAGGCGCTTGTGGGGCCAAAAAGGGGCTTCGTTCCTTGTTGTTCGTTCCTTTTTTCAGCAGCCCGACTGTAAACATAAAAAACTCGGAGGTCCGCGCGGCTTTCTCGGACCCACGTTGGACCCCCCTGGCGGCGCGTCCATCGCCGCCCCTGGCGCGCTGCGCGCGCCAGGGAGGGGGGTCCAGCGCCGATACGAGAAATTCGCGCGGATTTCCGAGTTCTTCTGTTCATGTCATGTTTCGTTCCCATTTAGATACGGGCCCGGTGGCTCCGAGCGGATAGCGAAGGGTCGAGGAATAAGAAACCGCCGCGCTGTACCCTTTGGCGTTGCTCGTGCGTGCGTGCGCATGCCGTCTCGGGGAGGGATGCCGAGGAGCGCCTTGGATCGTCTTGAACCGAAAAAAAAGGACACGCACGAGCCCGAGAAAAAAGCGATGGCAAGTAGATGTTGGACGGCCCGCGCGGACTCCTTGGAGCCTCGCTGGAGCTCCCCCCCCCCGGGCGGGCGCGCGGGGGGAGGGGGGCGGTGCAGCGCGGATCCGAGAAATCCGCGCGGACGACGGTCGAGCGCATTCTGTGCATGCAGTGCTCGTTTCCCTCCAGGAGGGGGGGAGGGAGGCCCCTGGCGGGCGCGCGGGGGAGGGGGGCGGTGCAGCGCAGATTCGAGAAATCCGCGCGGACGACGGTCGAGCGCATTCTGTGAGTGCAGTGCTGCTTTTTTTTTCTGTGAATGCAGTGCTGGTTTTATGTGCATGCAGTGCTGCTTTTATTCTGTGAATGCAGTGCTGCTTTTATGTGAGTGCAGTGCTGCTTTCATTCTCTGAATGCAGTGCTCGCTCTCTTCCGGGAGGGGGGAGGGAGGTCTCGTCGGCCCTCGGCGCGTCCCCGGTCTGCAGGGGGAGCTCTGCAGCAGCCGCGCCCCGACCTGGGCGCGAGCCGCACCCTCCGCCAATGTCGGACCTGTCTCAGGAGGGGGAAAAACACACACACACACAGAGACACAACTAATCGTCGATCCCCCAGAAGATATAGGAAAATGTGGGAATTGGGCGGGAAAACAAACATCTAGAAAATATGGGAAAATGTGGGGAATTATTTGAGGTGTGTGTATTTGTTTGTGTGTCCTGGGGCCCCTTTACTGTCCCTCTTCAGGAGGAGTTTTCTAAAGTGGGAAAGAAGACAGTCCGGGGACGATTTTTCATCATAGCATGTTGATTTGTGTTTGAATCTGTTTCAGCTATGTTTTATTCTTCGTCGAGAGCCCGCCTGTAGGGGGACAGGACAGGCCCGACCTAACCCTTCGCCTGCCCCCCCCCTCGCGCCGCGGCACGGCGTCGGAGACTGGGTGTGGGCCAGCAGCTCGGGGATGCCGCTGGGGCTCTCGGTCGGCCTCGGCGCTGGGGCCACAAGGGGCGCGCCCGAGTCAGGGGCAACGATACGACAGGTTCGTGCGGCGTCGGCGCACGCACAGGGCTTTTGACACCGCGTCGATCGATTCAGCCTCGAATCGATCGCGGCCCCGATCGTTCAAAGTTGAATTCAGTCGGGTCCAATGGCCCATCGCCGTTCAAAGTTGAATTCAGTCAGTCAAAGCTCATTGCCGCGTCCCTCGGTGCTCCCGCGTCGCAGAGTGCCACCCGGAACGCCTCCGCCGGCGCCGCCGACGCGCCAGCGCGTCATGAATTTTGCCGTGGCGGGCTGGGCCGGGCGTGGGTTTGGGGATGCATCGACCCCCGATGGCCCCATGCCCGCCCAGGAAGGTGCGGCTTCGCTATCGGGGGCTTGGCATCGCTCGGACGTGTGCATTTTTTCTCCGGCGAGGACCATCGAGGAGCATCCTTGATCGTTTGGCGAAAAAACCGCGCACGAAACCGAACAAAAACACAGGGAATGGACGCCCAAGCGATGGCCAGGGGGCCCATCGCCGATCTATCGGTGATGGTCGATGTCCCCCCCCTCACGCCAGTCCTCCCCCGTCGCTGCCCCTCACCGAGTCGACCAAGAGTTGTTCGGGCAGTGTCGTGGATTTTTGTTCGTGTTCTACTCGATGCCGTTGTGTTTGCATTCCGGGGCCCAGCATTGGCCGATCACGGCTCCAGATTTGCGCAGAAACGTTGACTTGGTCGGCCAGACAGTGTTCGTTTTGGAATGTACCGAAACGACACGCCACCGCAAAGCGTTGTTTTGGTCGACCCCTGGTCCCTCCAATTCTTTGCCTGGCATGGGCCCACCGCGAGCGTGAAGGATAAGTGGTTATTTAATCGCTTCGCTCATGCCGCCGGCCCTGGAGCCCTCTTTAGGGCCTCTTGGGGGCCTCTTGGGGACCTCTTGGGAGTCTCTTGGGGCTCCTTGGCGGCGTTTTGGAGGCCCCCATGGCCTCTTGGGGGGCTCTTGGGGGTAGTCGATTGCGGCTCCCCCCTCGGAGGCCACGATCCTCGTGAGGGGTGTCGAAAAATACCCTCCCCTGGAGTGGTCTGGTGGCTTCTCCCGGGCTTCTCTCGGGACCTTGCCGGGGTACTTTTCGTCCGGGGGCCCCCAGGGGCTGCTCCGCGCGCGCGAACTAGAAATATTGTTAACAAGTTACCGGAGATCTTAGCACGCCTCTGGCCCGTTGGGCCGGCGAATTTATTTATATATATATATATGTATATATACATCGCGTTGGCGGCGTGTCTCCATCAGCATCGTCCGAGTCGTTCGCTCCAGGCGAGCATCGGGGTCGAGGGACGGAGGGGAGGAGGAGGAGGAGGAGGAGGAGGAGGAGGAGGAGGAGGAGGAGGAGGAGCGACAGCGGTGGGAATGACGAGGAGGGCGTGCCTTGCACGCTGTGCCCTGCATTTGGCCCTGCTGGCCGCTCTGTGGAGATTCGCCGGCGGGCGTACGGTTTCTGACCTGCCAGCCGTTGCGCTCGGCAAGGCCATGCCTCGTCGCCTCCCCATCCAGCTGGCGTAGGAGAGACATGTTGACGCAGCTGGCCAGAGGGTCAAGAACAAACCGGCCTGCGAGAGCTCAGAGTGAGCGGTCCAAACGTCAGGAGGGAAAAACACACACACACACACACACACTATGAATCGTCGGCTCCAAGGAAAACATAGGAAAATATTGGAAGTGGGAGGAAACACACCCAGAACATATGGGAAAATGTTGGGAATCATATCATTTGTGTCTATTTATTTGTGTGTCCCAGGGCCCCTTCAATCACACAGGCCAGATCGCGTGGCTCACGTAAACGAGCTCTCAACCACATCGCTTACAGCATAGGACCCACACCACACGGCTCACACCACGTGGCTGGCACAGCGTAGCTAACACCACACGGCTCACTCGGCATTGCGTCCGTCTCCACAGTGCAACACGTCGCTGCTCGGGGTCGTTGTGATGGCCAAGATGTGTCAGTCGATCCTCCTCGGAGGGCTGTGGCTTACACAGAATAGCAAATTCCGCATAGCTCACTCAGCCTAGCGTCCGTCTCCACAGTGTAACACGTCGCTGCGCGGGGTCGTTATGCAAGATGTATCAGTCGATCCTCCTCGGAGGGCGGCAGCTATGCACCAACACCGACCCTGGCGTGTCATGTGCCTTACTCGCCAAACCAGGAGGGCGTTTGCACAGATCTCGAGCCCAGGATTGGCCTCACCAGGATCAGTGTAGGTGTACAGTCAACCCGCATAGTAAAGATGGACAACCTTCCCAAGGGTACCCTTGTATCCTTGCCTCCTTGGTCCATCCGTGGCCACTTTCGTTGGCCGCGCCCCGCTCGGAAAGCTTCGAAATGGGCGTCCAAGGCCCTTGCATCCTTTTGGCGCATCCTTTCTATACGGATTGACTGCACACTTGAGGCCCTCCTGCCCTTCCATTTGTTTCGGACAGGGGGGCGGTGGCGGCGCTGGGACTGCCAGCTCCCGTCGCGGCAGCGGCGCGCCAGGCATGGTGGGCCAGATGCGCTCGATGCAGCAGTCATCGCAGCAGCAGGCGGGTGCGCGGGTTGGCCGTCTACGGCTTGTTTCGATTCTGTCGGTCCGGTTCAATACCGATTTGGCCACTCTCAATCGGATGCGGCTCCGATGTTCGGGCGACCTGAGGTATCCACGGATTACTTGTGCATCTTTGCGCGGCCGATTTGGACCCTAGTCTGTTCCGCTGCAGCCCGATCCGATGCAGGCTCAGGCCCCCATCATCGAACTCCGCGATTCGGTGTTGCCTGCTCCCAGTTGGAGGGGGTGTCTTGTCGCCGCGCGTGGCTGCGAGGGCAGAGCCTCTCTGGCATGAAGCTGGGTCACCCCGAGGGGCACTTCGCGCGGCGCGGCTTGGGCCGCTGAGCTGGCCTGCCAGGAGGCGGCGCGAGGGCGCGAGGATACCTGCGCATCGCGGGGCGCGGTGTACGAAGTTGGGTGACCTACAGTGAACACGCATCGCGGGGATGGGCAACCTTCCCAAGGGTACCCTTGCGTCCCTGCCGCCCGAGACCGTCCTTGGCCACTTTCGTTGGCCGCGCCCCGCTCGAAAAGCTTCGAAGTGGGCGGCCAAGGCCCTTGCATCCTTATCGCGCATCCTCATGATGCGGGCCAGCAGTAGGTGACGCGGCCACCATCCTCGGCAGATGCCCTGGCCCAGGTCCGGCACGGAATGCAGGTCTTGCCGAGGCGCTGCAGATATTGCCCAGATAGTTGGATTGGCGACTGCATGCTCACAGCAGGAGAGGTTTTAGCGGGCGAAAGCGGTACAAGATATTTATGTTGTCCGTCGTCAGGGACGCTTGCCCCCCAGGCGGCTGGAAAGTTGATACCCACTACGTGACACCGTAAGGGTGTAGATGTTGCAGCCGTCCCCGACGGTGGATCAGTTTCTGTTACACCGCTCTTCGCCCCCTAGATTTGGGTGTTGCTAGAAGTACCCCTGGCCCAAGGCACCCCTAGGATTCTCGGGGTGGCCCAGGCGGCCTCTAGGGCACCCCTCACGAGGCCCAGAGGGCCCCAGGAGCTCCAAAATTCTGCACGACCGAAATGGGCACGGAAAGAATGGGTACAATGCCAAGCAGCAATTCTTGTTCATTTTGACAGGACTCACTGTCCACGCCGCCGCGGCCTGTGTCCATTCGAGACAGAAGGCTGCCTGCCCAGCAGCGGCCGCGGTGGGCTTGGGACAGCATTTGTTGTTGGGCATCGTACCCATTTTTCCTCACCCACTCCGGGCGTCCCAAACCTTTGGGCTAGGGGGTACTTCCTGGCAGCGCCCGATAGTCGGCGGCGAGCGAGGGGGGGAATTGAGAAGGAGAAGGCCTTCTCAGAAGGCGGCGGGACTTCTCAGCAGCCCTCGCGCCGTCTGAGCAGTGTTTGCTGTCTTCGGGGAGGGCTCAGCAAACTTCCCAGAAGTCCGGGGGGGCGCCCGAGCCTTCCGAGAAGGCACGCCCCTTCTCGCTTCCCTCCCTGCCCCGCCGCCTAGATAGCTGTTGGGCCGCGCGAGCTCTCCGGGGGGGCCCGGTGCGGCCCCCGTGCTGCGGCTCTGCGCGGCGAGGCCCCCCCCCCGCCGTGCCGGCGCAGAGCCCCGCGTGGCGACGCCTCGAGCGGCACGTCGGGCGCGTCCCCCTTACGGGAGGGGTATGCACAGATAGTCAAAGATGATGTTGGACGATTCTTTTGTATGTTTTTTGTTCAGATTTCTGGGGGGATCTTCCTGTGTGTTTGTGTATTTGTGACTCTTTGGTGTTTTTGTTTTGGTATGCTTTGAGATTTTCTCATGTGTCGTCCAACATCCGCCTGTGGGAGGACAAGCCCGACCTGACTCGAGCACCGTCCAGCCGGCGTGAACACGTGGCAACTTTCGTCGTCTCGGTTCATCGAGGGGCTCTCCTGGGGCATGCCGTTCTTTCTGGACCGTCTTGGGGCTGGCCTGGTCTTCTGCGGGGCAGTCTCAGGACCCCCCTTGGAACCCTCTCGGGCCGTGGTTTCACGACTCGCAAAGTGCTTACTCGCAAACGTCCGAACAAAAGCATGCCTCCCTCTATGTAGTGGATCGTGAGTCTCCTGCGGCGAACCCAGGCCATTTGCGAGTAGTTACTTCGCGAGTGGCAGAACGCGCTTTCCTACTGGGTACCCTCCCAGCGTCGTATGGAGCAATACAGGGCCCCTCTCGGACGTCTGGGGAGTCTGGGGTCTGGTTTGTGGGCATTTTGTGGTCCTAGGGTTCAGTCGGGCATGTCCTTCTACAGTAGGGACATTCAAGAATAATACAAATATAGTCTGGCGACGATTTGCTGTTCTTTTCTACTAGGTTTGACTATTGTTTGAATATGTTCTACGTTTCTTCCAGAATCCGCCTGCAGGAGGACATGTCCGCCTAATCCTAGGGCCATCTTGGGCTGGCCATCATGGGGCTCGTTTTACCTCCCTCCTCCTCCTCCTCCTCCTTCTCCTCCTCCCCCTCATCATCCGAGGCCCTCTTGCAGCCGTCTCGAGGCGGGTGGCCCAGGAAACCCCACAGCACCGATGTGGAGCCACAGGCTGCGCTCCTGCGGGGCACGTTGGCCTTCTCTCCGCGGCGTCCTGCAAGCCGCTTGAGCTCGCTTCGGCGCCTCTGTAGCATGCTGGGGGGGTGTCAGGGCTCGGTTCGACTCCTCTGGTTCGATTCGATTCGATTTCGACGGCCATCCCGATTCGGCTGGCGATTTCCGCCGATCCGATTCATTTCGATCGCCGATTCGGCTTGTCGACTCGATTCTGGGCTCTCCTGCTTGGAAGCCGCTTGGGCTCGCTTCGGCGTCTCTGTGGCATGCAAGGGGGCTCTTGCGTGGTTCCTGAGACAGTGTGGAGCCATGTTAACTTCGGGGAAAACAGATAGCGAGCACGCATGCCACATTCATCGGTCAACGCCTCCCCCTACCCCCGATGTTCAAGGTTGGCGGCGGGTCTGATGAGTGGCACTGCGACCGCAGCCGCCCCCGCGCGTGCCAACTTTGAGAGTTTTGGGGAGCGGGGGGAGTGTCCGCTAGTTGCTTCCCCCTGCCGTATTGGCAGCTTCGGTGGCTTTCCCGGGCCGTCTTTCGGAGCCACGGGGGCACCTTGGAGAGCCCCCGCCCGGGTGGCGCCAGGCACCCCAAAGACGCTCGTCGGGGGGGGGTATGCACGGCCCATTGTTCGAGTGGGGGATCGACTAAAGAATTGATTGACCCCAGAATTTCTTTCTCATATCGAATCTACGACGAATGCGTAGAATGTTCGTAAATCTATTGAGGCTTCTTCTGAGTTTGTCCAGTAGATTCGACGAGAAATTCTTTTTTGGGGTAAGTCGATTCTGTAGTCAATCCCCTACTCGAACTGTGTGATGAGAGGGGGGGGCATTAGAAGGCCTGGAGAAACCCGACACCAGACAGCACTTGGCATTATACGACTCCTCCATGCGCCATGGGCATAGAGGCAGACGCCTCATAGTTTAATTCTAGACGCCCGAGCATGCACCGGATTCAAGGGCTTGGAGGTGGAATAGGCGGATGAGGAAGAGACGGAGGAGGAGGGCGAGCAGAAAGGCCATGCAGAAACATCGACTCTTCGGATGTTTTTTGATAGCTTCTCTTAGTACTTGTTGCGGCCTCTTGGTGGTCCTGGGGGCCTCTTGGAGCGACTTGGGTGCCTCGGGGAAGCCTCTTGGGTGGCCTCTTGGGCGCCTCCTGAGGCCTCCTGTGCACTATCGGGAGCCTTTTGGGCGACCTTAAGGTCATCTTGGGGGAGTTCAATCAAATAAGGGGGGTCCTCAATGAGCCCCTCCCCCCTCTGCAGCTCCTGAAATATCTGTTGGACCCCTCTTGGAACGATCTTCGAGCGCTCATGAATGCTCTTGGAATTAGCATGATTCGAAGATTCTGACATCAATGCACACGGTTTCGGAGCGGGTGTTGCAGTGAAATTGTTTGAACACAAAACCGAAGTGTTGTCCCATGTTTTCAAGTGTTGGTCCTTGCTTCCAGCATGTGTTCCGTTTACGTTTTCGTCCCCTTGATTATATTGTTTCTATAGTTGTACCGATGACGTTACGGTACATGTATTTGTTTACGGTACGTTGCGATTACGATACATGTTTTAGTTGAGTCGTTCCCTTAATCACATTGTTTCTATATGAGAGTGTTTTTGTTCACAACTCTTTTCGGATGCAACTCTTGGGAGGTCAAATTCTGATTTTGCCCTGGGCCGAAATCCGGCATGCTTAATCCGGCTTGATCCCGTTCAATCCCGCTTAATCCGGCTTGAGGTCAACTCTGGCGTAACTGCCCCCCAGTGGGGCTCAATCTTCGTCAATCCTTCCGGCGAAAACCTCCCAGTAGTTGCTTCTTAAGCCATTCTGCACAGCTTGCGGGCAACGTCTATATCCACATCCAGGGCGTCTTGGCGTTCCGGACTCTCTTCCCAAGGAACCTGAGGCGCACCGGATATGGACAAAATAATCTGACTCCAAAAGGCTCGATGTTGTATCCATATCCAGTTCGCCTCGGCCTTGCGGCGCCCCTTCCAAGAAAGTCCAAGACGCACTGGATATGGATGTAGATACTGCCCGCGCAGCTTCTTGTTGCGCCCATCCCACCGCCGCCCAGCGGTATGCGGGGTCCTTGCTCGGAGGTCCGCAGGGCCAGCGCGCGAAGCAAGGCAGCGGCGGGCGCGCGCCCGGACATCAGATGCTCGCTGCGCGTGGCGAGTGAGGACCCTGTTTTCCGCCACCACCACCACGAGTTGGAGGGGGAGGGGATCCTCCTCCTCGTCCTCCTCCTCCTCCTCCTCCTCCTCCTCCTCCTCCTCCTCCTCCTCCTCCTCCTCCCCCTCCTCCCCCTCCTCCCCATCCTCCTCCTCCTCTCCTCCTCCTCCTCCTCCTCCTCCTCCTCCCCTCCTCCCCCTCCTCCTCCTCCTCCTCTTCCTCCTCCTCCTCCTCGTCCCCCTCCGTCCCCCCCCCCCCTCAGCTTCTGGTGGTGGTGGAGAAGAGAACACGCCCATCAGTGGGGGGGGCCTGGGGCCCAGGGCACCGGCACCGCTGGGGCGGGTCGGGGCGCGTCGGGGCGGGCCCGGCTGGGAGCGCCCTCCGTGTGCGCGCGGGCGCCGCGGCGTGCCCGCGGGCGCACCGCTGCGAAGGCAACGACGACGACCGACGACGACAGCACGACAACGGCGAGGAGGAGGAGGAGGAGGGGGAGGAAAAGGAAAAGGAGGAGGAGGATGTGGAGGAGGAGGAGGAGGAGGAGGAGTAGGAGGAAAAGGAGGAGGAGGAGGAGGAGGAGGAGGAAAAGGAGGAGGAAAAGGAGAAGGAGGATGTGGCGGGGAAGGACGGCGACGACGAGGGGGAGGGGGACGGCGACGACGACAACGTGCACCACGGCGCCTGCGTGCACCACAGCGCTTGCTTGCACCACAATGCCTTACTTCCGTCGTCGTTTTGTCTCGTCGTCGTCGTCCTTGTCGTCTTGGGCTCGGAGGGTTCTGCGGAACCAAACATCGAATCTGAGAAGGGCGTTCGCACTTTAATGACAAACCTATCGATTCGTGGTGGCGGCAACGACCACGACGATAGCGAGGACGACGACGACGACGACGACGACGACGACGACGACGACGACGACGACGACGACGACGACGACGACGACGACGGCGACGGCGGCGGCGGCGGCGGCGGCGGGGACGACGACGACAACGACGAACGACGGCAAACGCCGCGGACGACGACTGCGGCGGCGGCGGCCGTGGCGGCGACCGACGATGGGTGGCGGCGGCGGCGGCGGCGATCCCCCAGAGACATGGGCGGCCCCCCAGCTCGGCCGACGTCCACTCGACATCGGTCCTTGGACCCCTGTGGAGGTCCAGACCGGCCGGCCGCGCTCAGCCGCCGTGACGGGGTCCGCGGGTAATTCGAGAGCAAGTCAAAGCGATGGTGATGGATGAGACGGAGGGGTAGGGCGTCAGGTATGACGCGAACGCACTTAGTTCGCCCTTCCCCTTTCTCCCCTCCCCCTCCAAGTCCCGTTAGTGATTGTTTTGTCCCGTCACATACTATCACATCCGTCTGGCATTTCCCGCTTCTCCCCCGCTTCCGAGTATCGATCTGTCCTTTTGGTTTAGTTTCTGTTTCACTCAGTTGCGCGTTATGATATGTTTCGGTGTCTGTTGCGTAGTATTTCAAATCATGGCTTGCATGACTACGTCAAATAACGTCAGGATCTGGATGCCAGTTTGTGATAGCCGAGCTCCTCTACTTGACCATCGTGGAACTATGGCCAGTTCAGACTCCTGCTGTCGGGTTCCTTCTGTGAGGTAGTATGGGGGGCACCCCCGTGCTCAGGGCGGGGAGGCTACCTTATGCACTTAGCTGACATGGCCATGGTGTTATTCAAACGCAGCCACTTACCTAGGAGATCCAAGGATGAGAAAAAGAAGGATGGGGAGCAGAAGGATGGCGACTGGGAGGTGCATGGAAGAGACGGAGCAAGATCACGAGGGGATTCCTTCGGGGGGTGGGGATGCGAGGGAACGGTGACCTCGAGCACCGTAGTACGCACACGTGGAGCCTCAAGTGTTGGCAAAGTCTAGTGCCAGTGACGTACGCCTTGCACCTACGGAGCCGTCGGGACGGATGATTGGCCGCTGCTCTCCGCTCCGCTCTTTGGCTTGCGCAACGCAACGAGGCCGCGCTGCTCGCCGAACAAAACATCAGCCTGCCCCGATGTAATGTATCGTAAATCCCCCGCGGCGTATCCAGACCAGTTGCGAGTAGAACTCGCTTGTCTGTAGTTAGGCTGGCACTGCGTATCGCACTTATCTGATCATGTTTGTTCAGATGCGTGTGAGCCCAGAAGGACGTCCGCTTTAGAACAAGATCGATGACATATTATACGGTCCCGTCGCGATTATATTCGCAGGGGCTTACATGCTTCGACGGTGCGTACGTCTAGGAACAGGTATCTTCTAGGGGGGTGGATTGGCGCCAGTTTCGCACCATGGGAGTGTTGCATCATGTAGACAAGCGTCACGCCCAAGACTGCCACTAGACGCGGCCCGGCAAAGCCAGCACGCCTGCCTGATCTGCACGACCTCAATCGCCTGTTCGTTCGCAGAGGATTTGTGTAGGGACAGCAACGCAGAGTATCTGCTGCTCTGTAAGCGAATTTCGGGATGCAAACACCAGACGCGAGGGTAAGGTTCTGGTCCGTCGAGGCGTACCACAGCTACTGAGTCGCTGTTCGTACCCATGAACGCCCCGCTTCGCGGAGCAATGCCTACCAGCGCACGTACCTTCGAACCTGACCTTGCGACACATCGAGAGTTTCTCCCCAGCACCTCATCTGCAGGCGCCACAGCAGCAGCAGCAGCCTGAGCAGCAGCAGTCGCAGCAGAAGCAGCAGCTGCAGCAGCCGCAGCAACACCAGCAGCCGCCGCCGCAGCACCAGCAGCAGCATCAGCAGCCTCCGCATCAGGGTGCAGGCGGAGGCCAGCAGCCTGGCGGCAACTGGAACGAGGCCACATCCTGCTGGGAGGGTTGGTGGGGGTGTAGCGAGAGGGAGAATTAATGCTAGGCAACTGTGACAGTGATGTTGATGGCAGAAGGGGCATGTGCTGGCAGTTCCTGGAGAATCGCAGGAGCTTCTAGTTCGGCCTTCCCCCTTCGGTATCAACGAATTGTTCTTCTCGTATCTGCTGCTACCTCTTATGACGCTTGTCTTGGTGCTGTTTAAATCCAGAGAGGCATGCGTATAATCTTGTTTGCGTATAGTGATGAAGTGGGCGGGATAAGTTCACCGCCCCCCCTTGTTGCCATACCTTGTGCTACCCTGGGTTAAACATTCACTGGATCCTACGGGGATGCCAATGGAGTCCTATGGACATTCCGATGCTCCCACATATCCAAGTGAGTATGGCCATGGATGTCTATGGATATTCAAATGTTCCCCAGCGCGGAGCCCAAACCGCGAGCTGTCGCCCTGGGGGGGGTGGAGGCTATGCGGTGGAAGCCGCGCGGTGTGTGTTTCTATGTGGTGGGAGGATATGTGGCCGCTCGCCTGCAGGCCGACAGCACATATCCTCTCGACGCTGCGATCCAAACGGCAACGGGCGGCAACTGACTGAGGAGGAGGAGGAGGAGGAGGAGGAGGAGGAGGAGGAGGAGGAGGAGGAGGAGGAGGGAGGAGGAGGAGGAGGAGGAGGAGGAGGAGGAGGAGGAGGAGGAGGGAGGAGGGTGGCAAGACCTCGACGCTGCCGCACGCGCGCGGCAGCGGGGGGGGCAGCGGGCGGCAGCGGGCGGCCGGCGTGCGGCAAGTGGCCCACCCTCGACGCTGCCAGCCCAGCGGCAGCGGGCGGCCATGGGCGACGCACCCGCGCCGGCGGGAACGGGCGGCGACGGGCGGCGGCGGGCGGCAGAGGGCCAGAACGCTGCAGATCTCCGCCTCCGCCTCCTCCCTTTTTTTTTGTTTGTTTTTCTTCGGCAGGCCACTGGGCACGCACGCCCGAAGCGTCGGTGCAGGCGGTCGGAAGGCAGTGCCTCAACGTCCGCTCGGACGGTGGAGGCCGCAGGGCAGGCGCCACGAAGACCGTGGCCGAAGCAGTGAAGTCGGGCACGGTGCCCAAGGATGCAGGAAGAGGACAAGGAAGGACGACCAATGTGACGATGACGTAGACAGAGGGAGGGAGTCGAGCGGGAAGATGGCGGCGCCGTCGAGGCTGGCGCCGTCGTCAAGAGGGCGTGGCTAGGCAGGGCAGGCTGCCTTGTATCCATGGGGAGGGGGCGGCTGGGAGGTACGCGCGGGGTATTTCACCCACCTGCACCCTCTTGTGCCCCCAGCCACCCCGTGCCCCAGGACAGCACGCCACGCCCCCCCATTCACGGGTGCCGAAGCCGAAGCAGTAAAGTCGAGCAAGTCCCCGAACTCGACCTTGCCTCTGGAACACACCGTGGAATAGTCAGGAACAGTCGCGGTCCATAAGGCCTGAGAAAGCGAACTTCTGAGGCATGTGGTCGAGCTCGGAACAGCGCACGAGAGATGAGGAGACGGAGACAAGAGAGATCGCCATGATGGTGAACATGGATATGGCAGAGCTCGATGGGGGAGACTGCGGCGTCCGCGCCTGCCACCGAGCCCCTCCAGGGCCAGAAGCGATCCGAAGCAGCGCAACCGTAATATCCTCGTGCCCCCGATGATCTGTCGCTGCGTTCATCCTCACTGTGAAACTCCTCCACCTCGACTTCGCAGCTCCGTACGCGAAGCGCGCGCGACGCCCGCTCCAGGCCATGCGGGCAAGGGCCGCGAATACCGTCTGAAGAGCTCGGATGGGACGAATCTCTAGACTTTAGCAGAACCTGAGCACGGCAGCACAAGCTGCGGCTCCGCCGCTGCTGTCGGCGAACTCGCAACTCCGCACACGAAGCGCGCGCGACGCCCGCCCGAGCCCGTTCGGGCCACGGGCCGCGAATACAGTCTGGAGAGCTCGGGCGGCGCGAACCTCCAGACTTCAACAGAACCCGAGCGCGGCAGCACTGTGCTGCGACTCCGCCGCTGCTGTCGGCGAACGCTGGCTCAAAACGGCGTGCATCCCCGCCTGGCCCCAAAATTTCCTCTCACCACCTCCGCTTCCTCCATGAGCGGCCGACACCGGCCACCTAGCTGCGGCGCCCGCCGGCCACCTAGCTGCGGCACCGCACGGAAGGCTGGACCAAAAATGGGAAAGTCGAGAGCCTCCTGCACCTCCACCTCCTCCTCCACCTCCTCCTGCTCCTCCCTGCGCCAGGAGGCGCGAAGAAAGGCGGCCGTCACCCTGCCTTGGAGGCTCAGAGCCCCACCACGTTCATCCACGCCGGGAAATCGCCCTCGGACTTCTCGTACGACTCGGTCGCCCAGCCCCAGTTCCTCTCCCTGCCCGCCACGCCGAGGCCAGCCAGGTCCTGGAAGAAGAAGTCGGCCTCCTTCATGCCCGCCGCGTCGTTCTTGCGGTATAACGGCGTGCCCTTGGTGGTCACGTACTCCATGCTTTCGCGGAGACTGTAGAGCTTGGTGGTCAGAAGGCTCTTCAGATTCTCGGACTGCTTCTTCTCAATCAGCGATGGGGCTCGTCGAGCCTCGACACGTACTCGATCACCCTGGCCTGGTTCCTCTCGTAGAGCTTCTCCTGTAGGGCCTTGTTGTTCGCGCACTCAGAATCCTCAGGGCGGGCAGCGCCGCCAGGCAGCAGCCCGCCGCGGGCAGCCGCCGCCAGAGACCGCCGCCGCGGCGGGGGATGTGGCGGGTCCTCCCCCCCCCGCGCGGTCTCCATGGCGGGCCTCGCTGCCGCCGCCCGCGCGTGGGCCAGCGTGCGTGGCCGTCCCACCCCGAGCGGGCAGACGGTTCCGCCTCCTCCTCCCCCTCCTCCTCCTCCTCCTCCCCCTCCTCCTCCTCCTCCTCCTCCTCCCTCCTCCTTCTCCTCCTCCTCCTCCTCCTCCTCCTCCTCCTTCTCCACACGAGCGGACGCGCCGGATCGTGTCGAATCTTCGCCGCATCCACCCAGCTCCCCGAAGTGCAAGCACGGTATGGGGATTTTTGCGGTGTGAGTTATGTGGTGCCAAAGGGCCGGCAAACGTGACGATTCCTCGACGTTGCCACCCAAGCGGTCACGGGCCAGAATGTGACAAACTTTCGACGCACCCACGCATTTCTTCGAGCGAGACAAGTCAGAACCCCGTAGTACAATCACTGTTCGGGCAATTGGATCCATTGGATATTCCAATGTTTTTAAATGCATGTTCCAACGGGTTCTTATGGATACTCCAGAAGGAGCTCCCATCTCCTAAAAGCAATCGTTGTCTCATTGTTTCAACCGATCGGCGCGCGCCCTCGCCCCCCCCCCTCACCCCTCGCGGAGCAGATCCTGGCTTTTCTTGGCGCAGGTTTCAAGCAGGTGGGGCCTCGCCCACGGGACGCAGCGCTGCAAAAACAGTCGCATTGCAAGCAGAGGCCCCGAGCCGGCCCCTCCCCCGCCCGTTCCCCCCCCCCCTCCGCCCCTGGCGCCAGGCCCAGGCCCTGCCCTTGTCGGGCGGCCCTGTCGAGCAGATCCTGGCCCCAAAAACTCGAGTCTTGCGTCAAGTCGGGCATGTCCCTCTACGGGGGGTGGATTCAAAAATTGTCAGAAAATAGTCTGGGGGCGATTTTTCTATGACTTGTTTGGGTCTGTTTGTGTATTTCCGGGCGTCCCGCACGTGTTCTCTCCCGAGTGGCCGCGAGGGTCTGCCTGGCGCTCGCCCGGAGGGCTGCCGCGGGCGCTTCCAGTGTGTCAAGGGCGCTCCCGTGCGCTGGCCGGGTCTGCCGAGGTCCTCCGTTATGGCCATCTTGGCGCGGGCCCCTTCGGGCTCCTGCGGCAGCAACGTTTATGGGAGCCTCGCAAGCCTTCGCAGTTTTGTTCTCGGCGTCGATTAGCATCGAGTGGCGTCTGGGAATCCACGTGAATTGTCCGTTTTCGGTTCTCGAGAGGGCGCCGTGGCCGCTATTTTCCAGGCTTGCGCCCGCCAGGTTTGAAAGAGCGTGTTCTACCGCTGCTGGCGGAAAACCGGGGGGGGTCACTATAGTCCCCCCCCCCCCCCCACCGGAAAAACGGGGGGGTCACTACCGGTTCGAACCCCTCCCCCCCCCAGCTCATCATGAAAAGGGGGGGGGTCACTACCGGTTCGAACCCCCCCCCCCTCGAAAACCGAGTGGGGGTGCGGACAGAGGTGGGGACGGTGTTGGTGGGACAGTGGTGAGGGGACAGCGGGACAGTGGTGGGGACAGTGGGACAGTGGGACAGTAGAGGGCCGGTAGTGGTGGGGACAGTGGTGGGGACAATGGTGGGAACAGGGGGGACAGTGGACAGTGGTGGGGACGGTGGTGGTGGGGACAGTGGTGTGGGCACAGTGGGAATGAGGTGGAAACAGTGGGACAGTGGAGGGTACAATGGTGGTGGGGACAGTGGTGAAGGCGGTGGCGAGGACGGCGGTGGGACAATGGGACAGAGGTACAGTGGGGACAGTGGTGGGGACAGTGGGGACAGTGGTGGCAACAGTGGGACAGCTCAGTGGGACAGCGGCGGAGTCAGTGGGACAGTGGGGACAGTGGGGATAGTCGGGCAGTGGTTGGGGCCGTGGAGACAGTGGGGAGAGTGGGAAACAGTGGTGGGACAGTGGGGACAGTGCGACAGTGGTGGGGGCACTGGTGGGGACACAGTGGGGACAGTGGTGGTGAGGACAGTGGTGCTGGGAACAACAGTGGGGGATGTGATGCGGACGGTGGTAGGGACCGGGAGTCGTTTGCTGGCTGGCGGTGAGTGGGGGGGTGGGGAGGGGTTCGAACCGGTAGTGATCCCCCTCCGGTTTTCGAGGGGGGTGGGGGGGTTCGAACCGGTAGTGACCCCCCCCGGTTTTCCGGATCCGGAGGGGGGGGGGGGGTTCGAACCGGTAGTGACCCCCCCCGGTTTTTCCGGGGGAGGGGGGGGGGGGGGGTTCCAGCAGGGGGGGGAAGATTCTCGGAGGGGGGGGGGGGGGGGGGGGCGACCCCCGGGTTCCGGAGGAAAAGGTTGGCAATTTTCCACAGTAAAGCGGCGGTGGATCACGCTCTCTCCCAGGTTTGGGCCTCAGGTCGTTTTCACTAAACCACGTTTTACTAAAGGGAGGTCTGTCCATCCCCGAATAGCCATCTTGGCGCGAGCCCCTTCGGGCTCCTGCGGCAGCAACGTTTATGGGAGCCTCGTGAGCCTTCGCGATTGTGTTCTCGGCGTCGATTAGCCTCGAGCGGCGTCTAGGAGTCCACGTGATAGCTCCGATGCAGCGTCGACGGGCGCCAGTTGGCGTCGACCAGCGTCGATTCAGCGTCGATCGCCGCCGATTGGCGTCGAGTAACGTGGATTACCGTCGGCCAACAAGACGGCCACCTTAGGGGAGGGAGGCTCCCAGGAGTTGCCACCAAATTGTTCCAGGACGGCCGTCCTGCACCCCCATGGAGCAACAGTGCAACCTTTGCAGGTCGTGCCGAAGAATCGTGTGTGGGACTCCCCTGGGGGCAGTTTTGCATCCCGGATGCGTTCCTAGTGTCGGGCCGGACGACGAAAGGGGGAGTAGGGAAAGGGGGGGGGGTCACGAAATTTGCTGCACGCAGCTGGTTTCGGCCCCGCCGAGGGGCCCATTCCTCCATACGTGGGCGCCTCCCGGCGCCCGGAGGCGCCGGGAAAATCAGCAACGTGAGCTGATTCTCAGACCCCCCTTTTGCTATCCCTCCCTCTCCTCCTCCTCCTCCTCCCTCTCCTCCTCCTCCCCCTCCTCCCCCCCCTCCTCCTCCTCCCCTCCTCCTCCTCCTCCTCCTCCTCCTCCTCCTCCTCCTCCTCCTCCTCCTCCTCCTCCTCCTCCTCCTCCCCTCCTCCTCCTCCTCCTCCTCCTCCTCCTCCTCCTCCTCCTTCTCCTCCCTCTCCCCCCTTTCGCCCCGCCCGATAGTGGCCCCTGGCCCCGAAAACACGGGCCTCAGAGGCCCCAAAGTCGACGGGGGGCCGAAGGCGGCGAGCACGCGGACCAGGCGACGGTGAACGCTGCACCATCGTTCCCCAGGCAGGCGGTGTGCATGGAAGTCGGGCGAAGAGAACTATGCACATGCACCGGTCCTGGCAAGGCCCATTTTTGACCCAGGATCGGTGCATATGCCTTCCTGGCCAAGGTAGGAGGGCGTATGCACCGATCCTGGGCTCAGGATGGGCCTGGCCAGAATCGGTGCATGTGCATAGTTCTTTTTCCTCTATGGAAGCCACGCCTCGCTGCCTCTGCTGCCTCTCAGTGGCGGACGCGCGAGCTGGCGCCGCACTCCAGGCCCAGGCCCCGCCCTGTTCGGGCGGCCCTGTCGAGCAGATCCCGGCCCCCAAAACGCGAGTCTTGCGTCAAGTCGGGCATGTCCCTCTACAGGGGGGTGGATTCAACAATAATCAGAAAATCGTATGGGGACGATTTTTCTATTATTATTTGTTTGAGTATATTTGTGTATTTGTTGACTGTTTTCTATTTTCGCCGAAAGCCCGCCTATAGGGGGACACGCCCGACCTAAATCTTGCGCCTCCCCGACCCCCTCATCCTCCGCCAGCCATTTTGGCTCGAGCTCTTCAGGCTCACGGACGGCTGCCTTGGAATCGTTGCCTCGTTTCGGCGGCGAGCCCAGGGGGAAGTGAGAAGGGGCGGGCCTCCTCCGAAGGCTCGGAAGCCCCCCCTGGCCTTCTGCGAAGCTCGCGGGCCTTCACCGAAAGTGGAGAGCACCGCAAACCTCCCAGAAGGCCCGAGAGGCCTTCTGAGATGCCCCGCCGCCTTCTGAGAAAGCCTTCTCCTTCTCACCTTCCCCCCTCTCTGGAGGGGACAAAACACACAGACACAATGAATCGTCGATTCCCAGGAAAATATGCGAAAATATAGGAAGTGGGGTGGAAGACAGAAACCCAGAAAATATGGGCAAATATTGGGAATCCTTTTATTTGTGTGTATTTATTTGTGTGTTCTTGGGCCCCTTCATTCTCCTTCTCACCTTCCCCCCTCGCTCGCCGCCGAATGGGAACGTCGGGTCATAACCCGACGGCCGCTGGCGGCCGTGCGGGACGATCCGAGAGCATCCCCGGCGCGCTCTCGGCGAGGCGCGGCCGCTGGAACGCAGCCCGTGGGCGCCATGGCCGCCTAGAAACGACGCAAATGCCCGCAACGACGAAATGCCCGAAAATGCCCGACGGAAACGAGAATATATATATATATATGCGAAATTATAGGAAGTGGGGGGAAGACAAACACCGAGAGAGAAAATATGGGAACATGGGGGGCATCCTGTTATTTGCGTGTACTTATTTGCGTGTCCCGAGGCCCCTTTCACATAAAGTCAAAAACCCTAATAAGGACGCGCGACCTTGCTCAGGGTACCCCTGCATCCTTGCTCTTCGTTGCTCTTGCGTCCTGGAGGTTTTCGTCCTCCGCCGCCCCAAAAATCCCAACTTCGGCTTCCAAGGGTCTTGCGTCCTTACCGCGCGTCCTTATTAGGGTTTTCGACTTTCCCGCCGCCCTGCGAAAAAGTTTATGTTATACCGCTCTTCGCCCGTTCAGAAGTCGGGGGGGCAGACAAAAAGCGAGAAAAGATGGGAAAAGATTGGGAATCCTGCTGTTTGTGTGTATTTACTCGTGTGTGTGTGTCCCGAGGCCCCTTCAACACAGAGCCTCGAGCTCGCACCTCGCAGTTCCCCCCCCCCCGGCTCGCCGCCGATCGCTGCACCTCGGCGCCGCTCCTCTGGCGGACGCCGCGCTCTTCGCGAGGCGGCCCAGCGCGCGCGGCGATGAGCGGGCCCGCGGGGCCGGGGGCGCTCGGCCGCGAGGCGGCGGTGGCGTGGGTGAACGCCTACGGCGAGGCCTGGCGCCTGCAGGACACGGGGGGGGGGGGGGGAAAACACACCGACACAAAAAAGATGGGAAAAACTATGAGAATAGGTGGGGAAGACACACAGACACAATGAATCGTCGATCCCCCAGAAATTTTGGGGAAAAATATGGGAAGTGGTGGGGAAGACGAAGACCAAGAAAATGTAGGAAAAAAAATGGGGGATCGTTTTATTTGTGTGTACTTATTTATTTGTGTGTCCCAGGGCCCCTTCAAGGACACGGGCCGCATCCTGGCGCTGTACACGCCCGAGGCGCACTACGTCGAGCGGCCGTACGACCAGGACGGGGGTCCTCTCTCGGGGGCGGCAAAGGGGGGGGGGTGATGACTGGGGGGGGGGGGATATCCTGGCGGGGGGCGTGATATTTTTCCCCAGATTGCCTGGCGCCTCTTCTTCTTCCATTACGCCCTTGGCCCCCCCCGCTGGGCCGCGCACGTGCCGCCGGTCATGACCTGCACCCCCCCTCCTGGACGCCCCCCTCGACTCTTGCCAGGCTCGAGGAAGAAAGAGCCCCATAAAAGCATAAACTGTGGGCGCTCCGCGCGGATTTGTTGGCTCCGCGCTGGGCCCCCCCTTGGGCGGCACCTCCGGCGCCGCCCCTCCGCGCGCCAGGGAGGGGGGCTACAGCGCAGATCCAAGAAATCCACGCGGAGCGCCAGAAGTTTATGCTTATGCGGTTGTTTCTGCTTTGACATTTGCTGGGCATCTCTCGGACGTGCGTGTGCGTGTGCGTGTGCGCGTGCGTGTGCGTGTGCGTGTGCGTGTGCGTGTGCGTGTGCGTGTGCGTGTGTGCGTGTGCGTGCGTGCGCGCGTGTGTGTGTGTGTGTGTGTGTGGCCGGAGGGGAGCCCGAAGGGCGAGGGTGACGTCACGGAAGGGGATGATTTGCTGGCAGTTGGGGGTCGATTCGGCCACGCCCGAGAAGAGAAGAAGAAAAAACGCCATGAACATAAATTGTTGGCGCTCCGCGCGGATTCCTCGGATCCGCGCTGTCCGGATCGGGCAAGGACCTCTTCCTGGCCCCCCCGAGCGGTGTGCTGCCAGGCATCGCCCTGTCCCCACCTCTCCTCAAGAACGGAGGTCAACGCTTCCACACCACCGTGCAGTCCCCACGCATCTTCTGCGACAAGGGGTGGACCTAAACGGTGTTTTAGCGATTTCCTGGGCCGTTTTCGGTTCGATGCCGTTTTGCAGCAGAGGCGAACTCAAGACAAAACGAGGAAAAACGATAACAAAAGGAAAACGAAAAACACGGTTCAGGTCCAGCCCTGTCTGCGACCTCTGCGGGAGGATCTTTTTTCTCGTCCCTCCTCCTCCTCCTCCTCCTCCTCCTCCTCCTCCTCCTCGTGTATCCCGCTTGTTCCCTCAAAGGGAAGGAAGGGAGGAGGGGGTCCAGAGTGGACCATACCCCTCCCTCTCTTCCCCCCTCCTCCTTCGGTCCTGGCTTCCTCGCGCCTTTTCCGTCGCCCTTTCGGAGTTGGGCCTTCGGGGATCGCGTGTTTTCTTTTCACAGGCTTTTAGAGGCCCCTCAAGAGGATCTCAGAGGTAGGGGGTCTTGCGTCGCGACGCGCGCTCGGGCGCGCGCGCGGCGCGGGCTGCGGCGGATAAGGACCGTTTTGCCCGCAGTGCGCGAGAGTGGACCATACAGTCAACCATGATAGTAAGGATGGGGCACCTTGGCCAGGGTACCCTCGCATCCTTGCCCCTTCGGCGCATCCTTGCCACCTTTCGCTGGCCAACGTTCGGCAAGGATGGCGGCGCGTGAGGGTACCCATGCATCCTTCGGAATTCGGCCGCGCTCCGCGCGGAAAACCTCAACGTGGCGTTCCAAGGCCCTTGCATCCTTACCGCGCATCCGTATTATCCAGGTTGACTGTATTTGCAGTTGTCTCTTGTCCGGTGGCGAGCCCGCGGGGGGGGGGGAGAGTGAGAAGGGGGGTGGGGGGGGGGGGGGGGGGGGGGGGGGGGCCCGCGCGACGGCTGCGTCCAACTGGACATCGAGCCGAAAAAAAAAAAACAAAAAAAAAAAAAAAAAAAAAGTGAGAAGGGGCGGGCCCCCTCAGAAGGCTCCGAAGCCCCCCGGCCTCTGGGAAGCTTTCCCAGCTCCCCCCCGAAGGCACAGGACACTTCTCGGAGGGCAGGATCGCTTCTGAGAAGCCCCGCCGCCTTCTGAGAAGGCACTCTCCCGCTCACTGCCCCCCCTCGCCGGCCGCCGACATGCGCTCGTCTGAAGGTCTCGCGAGCGCCTGTCGCCCCCTGGGGGGACGGAGGGCTGGGCCCCCACAGCCTGCCGGGCGGTCCTCCCAACGGGGGATGGCAGCGCACCCTTCCCCTGCTGGCGTGATGCCGACGAGCCTTGGCTGGTAGCCCCCAGGCGTGGTGGTGACAGCACCCGGCGGTGAGTCTCGGGCGATTTGGCGTCATCTCCTGGTTTGGGGACTCGCGCGGTCTTTCGAGGATGTCCCGAACGCGGGTGGGTCCAGGAGTCACAGAACCCGGCGGCGACCTGGTGTTCCAAATCCCGGGGGTGATTTTGGTGGGACTTCCAGGAAACCACCTGATGTCTCACCACCTGGTTTGGGTCGGCGGCGAGCGAGAGGGGGAAATGGGAAGGAGAAGGCCTTGTCAGAAGGCGGCGGGACTTCTCAGAAGCCCTCTCGCCTTCTGAGAAGGTTTTGTCAGTCTAAGAAGGCTGGGTGGCCGCCGAATCTTCTGAGAAGGCATTCTCCTTCTCACTTCCCCCCCCTCGCTCGCAACTTGGTCTGCCAGTCACGCACACAGGGGCGGGGATCCACTCCGATCTGGTCGATCCGACACGTCGGACGAGGCTCGGGTTAGATCGGGCGTGCGCCTCTGCAGGAGGAATACTCAAAAATTGAAAAGATAATCGGGGGACGATGTTTCTACAATTTTGGATTATGTTGTTGGCATTTTTGGTGTATATTTGTAAATGTTGGCCCACAATCCGCCTGTACGATGGAAACGCCCGACCTACGGCTCGGGGTCCGAGAGGTTGCTCGGACGTGCTCGGCGTGTCCCTGGTCTCGAGATCTTAGTTCCGGCAGGTGCGCCACGCCGAGGGCGTTCCACGGTGAGGAGCAATCCGGTCGGCAGATCGGAGCCACGGCATGATCGAGCAATCCGGTCGGAGCAATCCGGTCGGCAGATCGGAGCAATCAGGTCGGCAGATCGAAGCACGTCCGGCAGTTGCGCCACGCCAAAGTCATGTGCCTCACGGATGCCGGGATTCGAGGAAGGAAAAGCGCCATAAGCATAATGTTTTGGCGCTCCGCGCGGATTTCGTTGACCCGCGCTGGGCCCCCCTGGCGGCGCCTCCGGCGCCGCTCCTGGCGCTCCGCGCGCCAGGGAGGGGGCCCAGCGCGGATCCAAGACATCCGGGCGGAGCGCCAAAAGTTTGTGGTCATGCCGTTGTTCTTTTTCTCGGGATGCAGCGATGGTCCCGAACGGGCGTCAGAGAGACGAACTTCGATGAAAGCCAAACAGCGAGGAGCAATCCAGTCGGCAGATCGGAGCGGATACAGTGGAGACCCATGCCAAGATAAACACCCTGCTTGCCTCCAGGGTCCCCTGGGTTTCTTGTGTTTCGATGGTTTTGCTGTCGAGAGCATGACGCTCCCACACCAAAAGCCACAATGAACGTCCTGGGTCTCAGGGTTGGGTTTCTTGTAGAAGGTTTCTTGTGGTCGAGCCCCTACTGTAGGGAAAGGCGTGGTCACGAAATCTGCTGCATGCAGTTGGCTTCGGCCCCGCCGCCAGGCGCTTCCTTCTATAGCTATTGGCGCCTCCGGCGCCAGGGGGCGCCGGGAGAAGCAACTGCGTGGGTTGAGTCGCAAAGGCTCTCCCCTACGACCCCCTCCCCTTCGTCCGACCCACGCTTGGTTCCGACGGAGCCGACCCGATTCTTCTCTAATATTCCTCGGGCGGGCGGTAATGGGGGGTGACCCATATGGCGGGTGAAGAAAATGGCCCCATGGGGGCCCTTCAGGGCTCCTTTTGGGCACCAGCTAGGTCCAATAGGGGCCCTAAAGGGTTCCTTTAGGGCTCTTCTCTTCACCCCCCATTTGGGCCACCCCCCGTGACCGCCCGCCCGAATTCCGTCGACGATCTGATGCGGCCCGATGCTCGCATGGCGCTGCTGTGCTTCCTGGAGCAGCCGACCGGTTCGATTTCGGCCTCGTGCCGACGCAGCTCGACGCGACGCACACTTCGATTCGATCAGGTTTCCTGATTCGATGTTGACAGATTTTGCCATTCGATCAGGTTTCCTGCTTCGAGTTTGACGGGTCCTGCCAGGAACGCGGCACCTACAAGGGCCACGACGGCATCAGGCACTACTGGGAGACCCACGTACGTGCGCAGGAGTCGGAGGGGCGAACCGTCAGAGTGAGTGGTGCCGTTCCCCATAGCTCCACGTTACCTTGCTGATGCGCGGGGTCCAGAGACGAGGGGCGCGAGATGTTCTGGAACTCCTGGATCAGAGGCTTTGCGCGAATTTTCGTGGATGTCCAGAATCTGCACTGCGCGAGCGTTCGGAACACGGGGCTGGCCTGCCGGATCGAGGGCGGCATTTTCATGTACGTGGTTGGGCGCGTACGTCCTCTGGCGGGCTCCCTACTGGAACGCATCCGGAGCCCGTCGCATCATGTGTCGTGACGTTGTTCTCGGCCCAAGGAGCGTGACATCCACTTCCGCCAACTCGAGGGCGACTTGGTCTTCGACCCTGAGGCCCAGACGGCCGTCGCGAAGCTCGGAGGAGGACCAGTTGAGACAACTGCGGCCCTCCCGAGGTTCGAGGTTCTCGGTCTTCGAACATATCCGTTGGCTCTCGGTGTTTCTTGTTCGGCTAGTGTTGTCCAGCAGCTGCGGCGCGCCGAGAGCGTCCCAGAGATGCCCCGATCGTCCAGCAATGCCGCTGGAGGCCCAAGTCGTGAGCCGAAAGTGCCCAAATCCAGCGGCTCGCCCGCCTGGCCCAAGTCCGCCCAAAAGGGGTCCGCCGGGACCCGTTTCCCGATGCGCGTCCGGCCGCGCCGACACGCGCTGGGGAGGGCCGCCCGCGCTGTGCAGCCACGCGCAGAGGGGGGCGGGGGGAGGGGGGAGGGCTTCTTAGGAGCACCGCTGCCTCCTAGAAGGCGCGGGCGTTGTCCACAGATGGAAGGCCGGCGCCTCCTGAGGAGCGGCCTCCTTCTGAGAAGCCCCTTTCCTTCCCTCCGCCACCTCGTGAGCGCCGCCCGCGTTGTCTCGACGGGCCCCCCCCTCCGAGAAAGTGGGAGGCCCGGGTCACCGTGCTCCAGCGGGGGGCCAGCTGGAAGACGGTGCGCTTCCTGCAGATCGCCTTGCTCCGCTTCGCGGCCGACGGCCGCGTGCGCCACTTCGAGGAATTCGGGGGCAAAGAAGGGGTGGGGGGAGGAGGCAGCACGATCGTTGAGAAATGAGGTCCAGTTCGAGGTCGGAATGGGCCCGGTGGTTCTCTAGATGGGCATGCGTGGCGGGCTCCTTCGATGTTCCTTCGGGTTCTCAGGTTTCATGGCTCGACTTGGAAAAAGGTCGGCGACTACAGTCGGTGCGGTTACGCCGGGGTGCGGTTTGCGAGTTGCTTTGTGGCGGCCTTTCCTGGGCCTTTGTGAGAGACAATGCCAAGACTGCCGCCGTTTCGAGCGACACTGCTATCCTCGATGTGTGCTCCCCTGTGCTAGAAGGAGCGCCAGTGCCATGCAATTCGGTCGCACTGAGTGACGATGCCATCCGTGTTTCCCGGGGGCGGGAGGGGCAGATCTGTTGGGCGCTGCGTAATGGGGGGGTCATAAATGGGGGGGGGCGAGCGTGGTCCGAAAAGGTACCCAAACGGTACCTAAACGAGCCCCCTGGGGCTCTGGAGGGGCCCGAAAGGGGCACGAAAGGGGACCTTTCCTGACCCCCCCATTTGTGACCCCCCCATTAAGCCACGCCCAAATCTGACGCGAGGCAAACAGCAGCCTTCGCAAACCGAACCCATCTGGGATCGTGGCCGAAAGAAGGAGGCTTCTCTCCCGGTGCGTCGCTCTCGCTTCGGCAGCCCGGCTGCCGGCCCGGGGCCGAACGCGTCGGCCTCCCCCGGGCGCCCACTCACCGCCGGCCGGCGCCTGAGCGCCTGCCACGCCCAGGGAGCGCGCGGAGTCGCTATCGGGGGCCGCTCGCCGATCTGCCCGCGATGAGGAGGAGGAGGCTGGAGGAGGAGGAGGAGGAGGAGGAGGAGGAGGAGGAGGAGCAGGAGGAGGAGGAGGAAAGGGAGAAGCAGGAGGAGGAGAGGAGAGGAGGAGGAGGAGGAGGAAAGGGAGAAAGGAGAGGAGGAGATGGAGGAGGAGGAGGAGGAGGAAAGGGAGAGAAGGAGAGGAAGAGAGGAGGAGGAGGAGGAGGCGGAGGGAAAAGGAGAAGAGAGAGTGGAAGGAGGAGGAGGAAAGGGGGAAGCAGGAGGAGGAGGAGGAGGAGGAGGAGGAAGGAGGGGAGAGGAGCAGGAGGAGGAGGAGGAGGAGGAGGAGGAAAGGGGAAGCAGGAGGAGGAAGAGGAGGAGGAGGAGGAGGAGGAGGAGGGAGGGAGAGTAGGAGGAGGAGGGGAGGAGGAGGAGGAGGAGGTGGAGGAGGAGGAGAGGAGGAGGAGGAGGGTGGGGGAGGAGGAGGGTCGATGCTTCCCCCCCTGAGCCCGTGCGCCCGTCCTGAGACGGTGGTCGTTTCGATCCGACCGAGCCAATTCCATATCGACCTCGGCCGGCACGATCCAGTTCGAGCTCGACGTTCGGACGATGCGATGCGGCCCGGTGCTCGCACGGCGTCGTTGTGCATCTTGGGTCGGCCGGTCCGATTCGCTTCCGACTCCGCGCCGATGCGGCCCGATGCGATGCACGTTCGAACCGATGCGATGTTGTACCGATTCGAGGTCGACTGATCCAGCCCTACCTCGGCGACCACATGGGTGTGGTTACTCCAGATTTTGTAATAAAGGGAGGGGGGTCTCATTTCGGGGGGGGTCTCTTCCAGGCTATCTTGGAGGGCCTGGGGGGTCTGGGGACGATGGTTTGGAGGGTTCTCCCACGGGGGGGGGTCTGAAATGGCTTGTCTTGGAGGGTCCAGACCCCCTCCCTTTTATTACGAAATCTGGAGTACGCCGGGTGTGATTCACGATCGGCGCCGTTGGGGCTTCTCGGGGGTCACCCGGGTGCGCCAAAGTGCTTGAGGAGCCCTCGTCGAGGCGCGGCGGAGATCTCTGTCGAGGTCCTCGCCCCCCCCCCCCAGGCGCGGGCTGCAAACGGGTCGGAGTAGATGGGGTCGGAGCATCGCGGCGCATCGCCGATGCATCGCCGATGCGGCTCCATCTGGAGCCCGACCTGCTTCACGTCGACGTCGACGATGCATCGCTGGAGGCATGTAAAACCGCACTCCCGTCTAGGATGAAGTCGGGCCTGTCCCTCTACAGGGGGAGTAGTCAAGCATAGTCAAAAAATAGTCTGGGGACTATTTTGTTAGTATTTTCGTTGGCAATTTGGGAGTATGTTTTGAGTATGTTTTATTCTTCGTCGCAGATCCCCCTGTAGGGCGACACGCCCAACTTGAGAGTCCAGGAGGCCTCTGCAAAAAGCCACTCCCCTCGGGGTCGCCGGCTCCGGCTCGCCGCTCCGAGGAGTGGTGGCACGCCAAGGGCCTGGACGGCGCGCCGAAGGGCCAGCGCGACCCGCGGGCGCGGCGGCCGCGGGCCGGGCCGAAGCGGCGGAGGCCGAAGGGGCCGAAGCGGACACACGAATAACTGGACACAAGTGACAGGATTCCCCATCTGTTCCCATGCTTCCTGGGTTTCGGTCTTCCCCCCTCCCCACTTCCCGTACTTTCCCAGATCTTCTGGGGGATCGACGATTCATGGTGTCTGTGTGGTTTTGTTTCCCTCCTGAGAGGCCCGCGCTCTCGGGGCGCACCTGCTCGCACTCCGCGCTGTTCGGGGCGCGCCTGGGGCCCTTCTCGGGCCGGGCGGGAGGCCTCGCGGCAGGGGGCCGGGGCTCCCCAGACCCCCTCGCGGTGCGCAGAAAGCCCGGCGGGAGGCTGTTCGCTGTGTCTGCGGCCTACGACGCAGGACGAAAAGCCGGTCCCGGGGACCCCCAAAGCGACCCCTTTGCAGGGCTCAGTTCGACTCCTCCGATTCGATTCGATGAGGCCTCTGGGTGCCTGAGCGCTCTGCAGAGGCTTACGAGCGCTTTTGGCGCTCTGCAGAAGCTTCTGAGCGCCTGAGCGCTCCGCAGAAGCTTCTGAACGCCTGAACGCTCTGCAGAGGCCTCTGGGCGCCTGAGCGCTCAGCAGAGGCTTCTGAGCGCCTGAGCGCTCTGCAGAGGTATCTGAGCGCCTGAGCGCTCAGAGGACCTCCGCAAATGGACCTTCGTTTGTGGACCCCCAGGGACCTCCACAAATACGTGTTCCTCGCGCTTTGCTTGCTACACTCCTCCACCCCCTTCGGCATTCCTCCCTCCTCGGCACTCCTCGACACTCCACCCTCGTTGGCACTCATCGGAGAGGAGGAGAGGAGGAGTGGAGGAGGAGAGGAGGAGTGGATGAGGAGGAGGAGGAGGAGTGGAGGAGAGGAGGACGAGGAGGAGCAGGAGGAGGAGGAGGAGGAGGAGGAGCAGGAGGAGCAGGAGGAGCAGGAGGAAGAGTTGGATGAGGACGAGGAGGAGGAGGAGGATGGGGATGAGGAGGGGGCGGAGGAGGGGGGGCCGTCTTGCGGCTGCTATTGCCGCGCTGTGGCTCTCCATGGCTCTTGGAGGGCCTCTTGTGGGAATGTTACCAACGATTTCTTGGCCACGGTTCCGACATCTTGGGTACGCATGCTCCCGCGAGTGCGAGAACCTACGGTTTTGTTATTGCCATCTGATGAGGCGCGAGAGCAAACATTGGTTGCGAGGCCAAAACATACAAATACACATCCGCATGCACTGGCTTCAGCTTAACCACCGGCTCGTTCGTCACAGTTCTGCCCTCCTGGGTACGCATGCTTCCGTAATTGTACACACATACGGTGTTGCAATCGCCAGACGACGGGGCGCGAGGACGAGACGAACACGACCGATGATGCAACAACAACACACATTGAAATCCACACGCATTGGCTAGAGGTTTACAACAGATTTCTCGGCCACGTGTCCGCCCTCCTGGGCACGCATGCTTCCGCAAATTGCGAAAGCATGCGGTGTTTGCGATTGCCTGCCGATGAGGCGCGAGAACAAACATGGTATATGAGACACAAATAACCCACGATGCGAAATCCACATGTGTTGGCTCGAGTGTGACCATCGGTTTCTTGGCCACGTGTCCGCCCTCCTGGAGACGCCTACAAGGGCGAACGCGAAGACATACGGTTTTGCTACTGCAAGACGATGAGGCGCTAGGACAACAGCTCTCTGTGAGGCGAGAAAAATCCACTGACATCCTCCTGTAACAGCCAGAATTTTAGCATCGATGTCTTGGCATCAATGTCCGCCTTGGGTACGCGTGCTTCCGCAGTTGCGAAAACATAAGTGTTGATACGTGGCAGACGATGGGACGCGATGACAACCATCGTTTAGGACACAGGGAATACAGACAAGTTGAAGTCCACATGTATTGGCTAGAAATGCACCAGTGATTTGTTGGCCACACTTCCCGTTTCCTGGGCACGCATGTTTTCGCACATGCGAGAACATACGGTTGTGTCGTTGCCATACGATGAGGCGCGAGGTCGAAGCATGTCGATGATGCAACACAGTATTTGAAATCCACATGTATTGGCTTCAACGTTACCAACGACATGTTGGCCACACTCCCGCTCCCCTGGGGGCGCGCGCGTTCCTCTATAGCGGGAGGATTTGTATTGGAGTTCAGTTGAGTTCCAATAGTTTAGTTTGGAGACCACAAGGACAACAATAGGACCCCAATCGGGTTACTGCATGATTCAAAGAGGACAGGTTCCTGTTGGGTTACAGTTGGGTCCTGATGGGATCCCACCAGCATGGCCGCATGGATCGAAAAGGAAGGATCCCGATGTTATGCCAGTGCGGTATCCTTCGTGTTCGCTAACATGGTCCGATGGGATTCCAGGAGAAACGTTTCCTATTGTTTCCGGGTTAGAACCTACGAGGACCCCCACTGGGCTTCCGTATAGTACCCTTGTGCGTTTCCCGCAACATTCCAATACGAAGGCTATTCAATTGTAATCCAATGAGGTTTCCAATCGGCTTCCATGGGCCCCATAGGGCTTCAACATGATACATCCCTATCGGATTCCAGTAGGACACCCGTGGGCCCCATAGCGAGAAATCTTGTAAGATACCCATGGAATTCATCTGGTGCCAACAGGATCTCATGGGAAGGGTGCCAGTAGGATTCCAATGGGATTCTCGTTGGATCACATCAGGAATCCGCCACTTCACAGATCCTCGCTTCAGACGCGTCACTTTACAACGGACACGCTTCAGAGAGCGAAGTCTTTCCCTTGCGTGGACCCACAGAGATTTCGGAAATTGAAGCACATGTGACGTTTATGTGCGTTTATTTGCTTGGTTGTAAAGTGGCCTTCTGGGTTGTACAGTGCCCTTCTGGGAGAACCCACGCTGGTTGTAAAGCGCCCCATCTGGTTGTAAAGCGACCGCTTTGGTTGCAATGTGGCCCGCACGCGACACGAGACCTCCCTGGGACTTTCCCCCCGTCCCGGGGGGGAAGGAACCAAAGAGAAGGGGTTCCCCTTCGACTCCATTCCGGCGTTCTTCACTTCCGCTTTGGATTGCGCGCTTGAGGCGAGAAGTGGAACGGAGGACGACGGAGACGGCGACTCGAACGGAGAAGCTCGACTCGAACGGGGAAGCCCCTCACACACACGCCGACAGGGCTGGCGGATTCAGGAGACGTGCTCTCGCCTCGATGCTGGCCACGTCTCTGGCCTGGACGGCCACGGCCCCGTGTGACAAAAACACCTCGAGGTGCACGTGGCCGTGCTCCCACCCCTGCCCCGGGCACGACTTCACCAGCCGACCGCCTCCTCGGTCCATCCCTGCCCTCTTCTTCCCACAGACCCCTCGCATGGTGGCTCTCCTGGAACGTGTTCGGGAGAAGGAAGAGGCGGCCTCTGGAGCGGCCTCATCCAGATAAACAGGTAACCTTGGTCCTGCCCCCCCGGGGGAAAAACAACAGAAAAAAAATGGCCGCGCCCCGCTCGGAGGGCTTCGAACTGGGCGCCCAGGGCCCCCTGCATCCCGATTCACACATCCTCCGCAGGCCCAGAGGTTGACACCAACACCGAGATCGGCGGTGTGCCTCCACCGAGGGAAGAAGATCCCGATCTCGACGATGGTGGTCATATTCTGGCTTCCAAGGTGACCGAAATATCACCACCAACACCGGAATCGAGGATCGTCTTCACCCTGTGGAGGCAACCCCCTGTGCTGGTGTTGGTGCCAATTTCTAGGCCTCCAAATCCTTGCGATGCGGCTGGACTGTACAGTCACTTGGCATTGCTCGGGCGTGTGCATTTTTTGCCGCGGCGAGGACCACCGAGGAGCAGATTGGATCATCTGGCAAGAGAAAGGAGCACGCACGGAAGCAACCAATTCAAGAGGGAAAGAAACACACAGACACAATTGAACGTCGATTTCCAGGAATATAGAAGATGGGCAGTGGGAGGGCGAAGACAAAAACCTTAGAAAATAGGAAGAAATATGGGGGATCCTGTGATTTGTGTATATGTATTCGTGTGTCCCAGCGCCCCTTCAAAAATAGATGTCCGAGCGGTGGCGAGGTCAAAGCTGACAGGAAGAGGGCGCGTGTAGCCTGCCAGTGCAGCTCGCTACAGGCCCACCCAGGAGCGTGCGGATTCGCCATCGGGGGCCCATCGCCGACGTATCTCCCCGAGTCCAGCTCGATGCGTCTCCCCCCCCTCCTCCTCCTCCTCCTTCTCTCCTCCTCCTCCTCCTCCTCCTCCTCCTCCTCCTCCTCCTCCTCCTCCTCCTCCTCCTCCTCCTCTCCTCCTCTCCCTCCTCCTCCTCCTCCTCCTCCTCCCTCCTCCTCCCCCTCCTCCTCCTCCTCCTCGCCCCTGACCTTCCTTTTTCTCGGATAAGGAAAACGCCATAAACATAAGCTTTTGGCGCTCCGCGCGGATTCCTTGGATCCGCGATGGGCCCCGCCTGGCGTCGCCTCCGGCGCCGCCCCCGGGAGGGGGTCCGGCGCAGATCCAAGAAATCCGCGCGGAGCGCCAAAAGTTAATGTTTACGCCGTGTTTTCTTCTTCTTCTTCTACTTTCGTCCGACCCGACGTTCGACCGGGCGTTTATTAAACGGCCCTGGGCGTTCACGAAACAGCCCCGCCCTGGGTGCGTTTACGACACTGCTTCGCGCGTCGGAGTGACTATTCTGGGGGTGGATTTTCTGCCCTCGACTCACCTAGGGGAACGAAGAATGACATAAACAGAAAAACTCTGAGGTCCGCGCGGATTTCTCGGATCGGCGCTGGACCCCCCTCCTTCGCGCGCGGAGCGCGCCAGGGGCGGCGCCGGAGGCGGCGCCAGGGAGCCCCAGCGCCGATCCGAGACATCCGCGCGGACCTCAAAGTTTTGCCGCGCTTCTGCCACTCGTCCTTGATCCCGCGTCGAGCCTGCTGGACGCACGCTTCTGCCCGCGCGCCCACCACTGGCGTATGGCTTGTCCGTTCGCTCGCTCGTGCCACTCTGCGCTCCCCTATTGTTCTGCCCCCCGCCTCGCCTCGCCTCTCCTATTTTTCTGCCCCCCGCCTCGCCTCGCCTCGCCTCGCCTCGCCTCCCCTATTTTTCTGCCCCCCGCCTCGCCTCTCCCCTCTCTCGTCCGGCCCGACCTTCGACCGGGAGTCCACGACGCTGACGTCGAGGGCGCGGGCGCCCGCGGCGCCGGGCGCGGTGCCCGCCGCACGGCCCGCGCAGGAGCCCCTGGGAGTCCCCCCGGGGCCGGTGGGGCGGCCACGCCGTCGGGCGGCGCGCGGTAGCTCCGACCCCGTCGGTGCGGACCCCGTCCGGGAGGCGTGGATCTGGGTAGTTCTAGACGCTTCGCGTAACCCCACCAGTCTTCTCGGATCATGGATACACCTTGATGTCGCTGACGCCGCGGCTCGCTGCCGCCGTCGGGATCCTCGTTGGACTTACCACCCCGACCCGTGCTACCCGACAGGCTGGGGCTGGCCTCCTCGGTCGTTCCCTTGTCCGCCTTTGGACGTTGGAACGTTTTCGCGCCATTTTGGCTGCGCTAGGTGGTCTCGGTGCCTACCTCAG